ACTGTTGATTGTGCTTTCATTATCAAGTTGGCCAAACAAAAGCAAGTAATGGTTTCTCAAGAAAGTCGTTCACATTTTATTCCAACTTCTGTTATATGTCAATCAGTTTCAACCAACGGTGCTTGACAGGTTCATTGTTGCCCTACGTCTACGCGCACTCTCACTGACGTTTACTGAATTTAACTTATATGGCGAACGAGGTAATTAGTGATAATAAAAATAAACACAGAGAGCGCACCACTAATTTCCATACCGTAAGCTATTTGTGATTACCACTACGGATATCGGAATACTTTTGTCGAATGAACAACAAAGTCTGGACATATACATTTCAGGACATTTCCTGTGTCTACACATTTGGACATTTATATATATGATTTTTCTCTTGTTATCAACTAAGGTTTCAGAAATCGATCTATTACGAGAACTTTTGTTTACTTAGAATAAACGATAGGTACTCTCTGAAGCTCTTTGCATCGCTCTACTTAATATTTGAGAAACAGTCTTTACAAATCGAGGATATTCATCTGTTACTAGTATTCATAGCTCATATATGTTATTACGGTCGAGTTATTAATGTTGAGATAAGTGAAAGGTACTAGGTAAGAATGGCAAACTGAATAGTGAAATAGTGAACATTTATCGACTGAGGTGGTTGTCACGTGTATTTATTATGCCCGTCATCCGCGTAAGTTGATGCTCAGTAATGGTTAGTGTAGTAATGGTTCGGAAGAAAGTTATGGTTGATCGAACAAAAATGTCAGACCAATCTCTGAGGGCACCAAATGTTGGACTGATCGAGGCATATAAATATGGGCTACCTGGTTGGCGTCTGAATGACTATGATAGACAATAGATGAGGACTTTAATGGAGTGGCTCAGAATCGGTCACAGATGGACCCACTCTTCTTCTCCCCTTAGACCCTATGTCTCTAAAACGCCTTGAAACTTCCTTTGAATCAATGCATATTTTCTTCCCGAATTGTACCTGCGATACGTATCGGTACGTATTGATACCTAATCTTTTCTACTGCCAATGATATTATTACTGTCTCTAATGCTCTAGAATTTGTTCTGACAATTTCATCTTGCTGTGCTAATGGGATATGGCAACTTCAACTAATGTACACATATGCCATGTTTCACTTTGCCTATAACTAAATGTCTATACGAAATAACAAAACTATGGTCCTAATTGTATGTTGACATTACTTCAGAATGATATCCAAATGCATGCTTTTCTTTTCCTGGCTTCATGTATTGCGGCGTTTATGTTTTACCAAGGTTCTAATGCAGCAATCAGTGTTTTGAACGTCAATAGGTTACTCGTCAAGCTCTTTAGTTATGATAAGCACTTTTTTGTAATTAACTACCTTTTATAAAAATGCAGAATACATTATGGATAGGGCCCATATCAATGACAAATATTGCGTGAAATGCAATTAAAAACAGGTCGGAGGTGTCTATTTTAAAATATGAAATAAGACAAAATATGTCCCACAAAGTATACTGCCAGTTATCACAAAAAGGTTTCAGAAAACGAAATTACTATGGTAATTAAAGCTACCTCATATTTTCACAGAAATCTTCAACCAAAGAAGCCTAGTTGAAAACTATGTATTTTAAGCACACACATACATGAGAAAAATCCACTTTGTGTAATCTGTGTTAACGCAAATTTTCATCTTGACATTTTTTCAGGATCACTAGATATCTGAACTTAAATGAGCGTCCAAACCAACCTAAGAGATGTTGGCTGGATGTGTCATGTTATCCCACTGAAGAAAAATAAAGTGCAACAGTTGGCTCCTCCAATTTCGCAAATTCCAAACATCGGTTTTATGCCTGAAGAATCCAGCCACGAGAAAAAGCATACAATGTATTTCAAGTCAACTGACTCACCATATATACGACTATCTAAAATGGGTGGTAAACCAGATTTACTATGTTTTAGAGAAAACGAATACAGTTCTGGACCACCCGTTCCTTATTGTCGATGCGAATGGTTTTACTTGGAGGATAATGCTCTGGAACGTAAGCAGAATATCGAACCCGAACCCACAAAATATGTGTTTAAAGTACCATTCTATATGTCAGATAGCTCGGTACATCAAATAGAGAAGAGCAAGACTACAGAAAAAGTTGTTGATCGTACACAACCTTCTGTATAATCACCAATGAAAGTCAAAGTGTGTTTAAAACTGCTGCCACATAAGTTCGGCTACGCAGATTATAGTGAGAAGCTAAGAACATTACGAAATCAAGTATTAATATTCCTTAACCATATCATGTTAAATTACCATGAATATTATAGATCATATGGTAACTTTTGGTTTACGGTTTGAATCGGTGGGTGATAAGCCCAACACTTTGACTTCTCCCTGGTTGAAATTTTCAGTGTGGCGTGTATACAACCTTGTCGAAACATACTGATTCGGCTAAAGAATAGTTGTGACGTATAGGTCTACCATCTAGATATTTGCAAGCTTTGAAATGGAGGAAGGAAAACCAGAGAATCGTAATAAGGAATTCTAAACTCAGAGAATCACAGAAACAATCTCCTTTTGGTTTTGATAATAAACAAGCGCAAAACTTTCTAATCGCGTTCTGAAGAATTTATATGGTAATGTTGAGAAGTGGTGGGTAATAAACATGAATGAAATAAAAAAAAAAGAAGTGCTAGGTGACAGTAAGCCGTTCTATCGAATCACTTAAGAAACTGAGAGTAATAGGTCAGCTATTAGTAATACCGGTGAAAAAAAGATAAACTAATGTCGCTATTCTAGAGGTCAGTCACTCTTCCGTTGATGGCTGCCAATCAACAACTGAATTCGGAAGTTCGCATCAGACTTAAGACTGCAGTAAAGGCATGATAGCTGTAACGAACATGGAAAAAAGGAAATCAGTGTACATTCGCGCGTTAAGCCGACCAAGGTATTTGCGATTATCTCGTTGTATGACGTATTTTATTTGTCTAATCACCTTATTCTGGGAAAATAACAGATCTCTTACAATAAATACAGGGTAGTCAACTTCCATTACATCGTTTTTGGGTTTCATAGCTCTTAATCATCTGACAAGTAACTGAAGGTTTGAGGTAACATGAGCAAAGTCTCATAATCTGACTTCGTTAGATAATAAGATAAACATATTTGACGGATGTTTGGTCATAACTCTATTGGTTGTGTCGGAGGTGTTGTTCTATCGTTTTCATATAGTATGCTTTCTTTCCGAGTAGAAACCAACAATAATAAAGTATCCTGGAAACACTAGAAATATTCGTTCTGTATCACACTATTGATGCTAAACGTGGTACATTAAATACAAGGGGATTCGCAAGTTGTGAGTGTTCGGTTGCAGATATTTTCAAATATATTTTTCGCTTGCTTTAAAACAACTGCATGAGGAATTCCGATGTTGAGCGCAGGGTTTTAGATAGATCTGTAACTTAGTTGATAACATTTAGAACTGTCATGGTCCATGGAGGTTGTTCTATTTGCTATTTATGTTCAGCCTCTGTCTATCTGAAGAACTGTCATGTTCGTCAGAGGAATGTCTTTTCTTAACGAGGGGAATAATAAAGTTCATTAAACATCTAACATTTTGAATTAAAGTAAATGAAAAATCAGTTCACTAAAATATGTTTAATTTATTAATCAGTTCCTCAGATGCTGTTCAAAATTATATTCTTTCTCAAATTGAAAAGAACAGTTGTTTAACTTATGATAAGCTTTAGAATTGTGCCTTCAGCACTGTTATCATGTTGTTTGATTTCAGTAAGTTTGGAAAAACTAATTTCATATAAATTGGGTCATTCTTAAAACACATTTCAAGAATAATCTTTTGACACTGATCATAATGTCACACAATGTTTTGTATGATGTTCATTTTTAGTTGATTGTGCTGATCAAAAGAGTGTCAGTTGTTGCCGTGAATATACGTTAAGTTGTTAAAGTCACAGTTGTTTGTCGTGCACTTGTTTTCTTTCTAGTAATCTTTAGGTAATTATTATGCTTTCATTACTGTTATTTCTTGGTCCATAGGAATATTAAGCTTTTTCAAAACCATACCTATGTCTTAAGGTTTTTTGATAGTAACAATTATTCAGTGACAATATCCTGATTATAGTTTCTCCTACGTAGTGAGATAAAAAAGAACATCAAAGTTTTTTGGTAATATTAGATTGTGCTGAAGATAAAAAGTCTCAAATGATTTAATTAGTTTTGCTCACCCAATCTATACTGGACAATATTTTTGGGTCGTGAGTTATCTTATGTCATCAACCTTTTGGTTTGTAATTGAAATTAATTCAAAATGGACATGATGATCATTTGATTGGTTCTAAAACACTTATTATATTAGTAAGCCAATCGCTTTGTCGAATTGGAATAACTTTAGTGTATTTTTTTTATATAATTAAACACTTTCAAATAAGATTGCGCGATTACCTAGTATTTGTAACTATTTTTAAAGTGGCTTTCCAGATTCCAGTTGATTTTGTTTAATGTCCGACAATGAATAAGGAACTTGTTGTGCTTTCAAAAATCAGTGGTTTGTAGCTGTAGAAGACAAGATGTAAGAGTATTTAAAGTGGTGCAAACCTTATTATTTTCTATTTTTTCTTAAATATAAGCCATACTTGTTACAACCGATCTCTATTCTTATCCCTATCAACTTTTCTGCATTTCTGTTGTCATTGATTTTAATCCTTTGCTAAGTATTTAGTAACTTTCTGTGTCAATAAATAGTAAATAGCAGGAATTACAGTATTTTGTTTTTGGATCGTTTAGTTTTTACTGTACTTATTGAGTCTGATAGGAATTGTGACGTAGATGACTGAGCCTATGATTTTTTTAACGGTTCTTACAGTTGACGTGTTTATCATGGTGCTTAGCCATGTTTGGTTGTCAAGGTTCCTGTTTAATCCTGAACGAAATCGGGATACGTACCATTGAGGAATCACATAAATGTTAATAAGGTTATTCAGATTAAAATAAAATGAAGTGATGTGATGAATAATATACTTGAGCCTGTTGATTAAACATAAGCGTTCAAGTGATTTGGCTTAGAACACTAACAATCTAGAGTTTGAGATATTATGATATGGGGGCGGCGATTTGAGCATAAACAATATAGTTCAACATATACACTCTTCAAGTTATATATGTATATTCTGTAGATATAAATGACAATATACAATCCTAAAACTTCATTAAATCTTTTGGTAAATGAGTATGCATCTGCCTACGACAATAATTGTGGATAATGGGATGAAATGGAAAACTATTTTAAGTAAAGAAACACTGTTGGTAGGAAAATACTCATCGTTCAAGAAAATAACTATGAATTCGGCTAAAAATCTGACTGAATTCCGTAAGTTAGTTCAAACGGTAAAGAATTTCCATGACATGATTATAGTGTATTAACTGATTGTTATCATTATCTGGTAAATCTAATTAAGAAATTTTGCAAATCAAATGTAAATTGATGAAACAGATCATGTATTTTCTCAGACATGCTAATTTTATAAAACGATGTTGTTAATTCTGTGCATTTGTTCAGATGAAATTATATTTTTGAAATGACACTAATGAAAGATAAGTTTTGTGTTTCTCTGCTAAAAAGCTATGATAATTTTTCAGGATAACAGCACTTGTTGAACAAGTTATTAGGAGAATTCAACTGTGACTTTGCCGATAAAATCGAAACAAGCTGAAATATTTGGGCATTTTCCTATCATGTATCCATGGTACAATTAATAAAGCTAGGATAAAGGAAATGTTTTCATTTAGTGAGTATAATGCAATATGATGTTGTGCGTAATAATCATTAAAAGCAACAGACAAAATTTATAACTGAGATTAGAAAGCATTCTAAGCATAACATACAGTTGATCAAAACTTACTGTCTGATGACTGAACTTTGCACAGAAGGGAATAGATTCAAGCTAAAGAAATGTTTTACCAAATGAAGATTGAAGCTGTAAAAGTCTTAAGTGAGACCCACTCCTCCAAAGTAAAAATTGTTACAAGAAGTCTGATTAGTGGTCAAACATCTAGAATAACTTTTGGCACTAAATTAGACACTTACGGGAAACGAGCTTATAGTTAATGGCTAATGAAATGATTATTACTATTCAACAAGAAATCTATTTACCAAAATCACTCCTAGGACTACTCAGCCAAGCAATTTAGCATTATTTTAGAAACAATCCGTCATTATGTAAAGGACCCCTTACTTTAGAAGTGTTCTCGTTTGAACTCGTTAACGTAGATCTACTCATTTGACACCACTATCGTTCTCACGGATGTCATCTAAGGTCAACAAATGATTAGATCAAGTATACTGAGCAATTACTAGTTTCCGCTATGTGAATTATTCATTTCTCATTATTGTCACTCTCCATTTTTATATAAGTTATGTGCACAGTCAAGTTTGTTCAGCTTGAAAATGTCAACTGGGAATTTATTACAAAGAATACAAGTTAAGTAAAATGTTATCTTGATGTTCAATAGCAGACTGGATTTTCGTTTTCTTCTGATAGGTTCATATCAAAGAACTCTCAGTGATAGTAATAAATATCTTCCTAAAGTGAAGGGTTAAATTTCCAACACGGTACATTACACACTAGCCAAATTTTCAGACCTGATAGCTGTTTAAGTGAAAGGTATTTGATAAGTAATGCGCATTTTGTGTTTACTACACTTCTTTTTGTAACGCAGTGGAGTGCTAACAATTGTATCTACGAAAACATGTCGATTAATGTACATAAAATTTTATTACTTAAGTTTTACGTCCCGATTTCACTCACTATATTTCGTAATTTTCGACAGAAACCGGTAAGTTAATTTTTTAAGCTCACCGTATGTAACGTTAGTAATCAAATGTAGAGTTTTGATTTATTATCTCGTAATCACTTTTTAGTAATGCTATGCAGAAAGTTTATGTTGCGTATATAGGGGCAATGAACAGTTGATTACAATGATCAAAGCTTTAATTTAGTCCCAAAAATATCATTTTCTAATCTGAACAAAACGTGCCTCAGAGTAGTCTGAATACATCTATGTTCTAACTTCACCAACAACCGATATCGACTACTGTAATCTTTTGTCACATTCGACATGACAAACCTTTAGGACTATGAATTCATATCAGAACGTCAGGACATCCTTTTTTATGCAGATCATCAATGTACAGTGAATCGTACATATTTTTAAAAGAAATGTTTTAGCCAAGAAATAAAATGAAGGTCAGAATTAAATGTTTGCTTTAAACTTCTAAGGTTGAAAATTTTTTGTCATGGTAAGTTGAGCCTTCATCACGTTTTATACACTTTCCTGTCACTGATATTGTAAGTTTCTATAAAATAGTGGTCAGTGTAACTAGATTTCACTTTGTATTTTTCTAAGTGCTAAGTTAATTATTTCGGAATACGTGTTCATAGTAGGAATGTGTGTTTTTTGAAGTTCGTTGAAACTTCCATCAATTAATAGAAAACAATTTTCGTCTTAGATTGATTTCCTATACTATAGCCTCATACAAAACCTTTCTTTTATATATTATTGTAGTATCTGTGTTTATGTTAAACCCATTTACTTTATTCTAGCTTTTGGCCAAGCCAATTCACCTATACATTGAGTCATATTTTGATCTTATTCATTATTCGCTTATTAACCTTGACTATATTTTATATGAGCGTAATTGTGTGTACCCTTCGTATCCTATTCATCATATGTCTGTCATTCATTTTTGTCTGATTATAAATATTGAGTAATGCTTGCTTATAGCGAGTTGGCTTCTCCGCCAATCTCCAACACGCATTATTTTTGCTTCACTCTCGAGTTGGCTTCCCAGCCATCTCCACTATACATCATCTCTGCTTCGCTCGCTTACACTTGCTCATGTACTCACGGCTTTCTGGTCTTCATCACTCATCAATAAAGATGTAGTTGCCGCTTCCTTTTGCCTTCTGATTTTATACACCGTTAAGATTGGTATAAACTCCGCCTGTAGCTCTTCTAGAGTTACTACCGGTCCCAAACCCCGGTAAAAGAGGAGGGTTGGGTATAGGGTTAGCGACCCCATCCCGTAGAAAAGCTTACTCGCTAAAAAAACGCTAACCAGAAAAAATAATTCAATCCATTTAAACTCTGCCCTGGGAGTTGAAGGAATAATTATGACATTCAAGTACCTGGGGAGCATCGTTGATAAACAAGGAGGATCGGATGCAGATGTAAAGGCGAGGATTGGCAAAGCAAGGACAGCATTTCTACAATTGAAGAATATATGGAACTCAAAACAACTCTCAACCAATTTCAAAGTGAGAATCTTCAATACGAATGTCAAGATAGTCCTACTGTATGGAGCTGAAACGTGGAGAACTACTACGACTATCATCAGGAAGGTACAAGTATTTATAAACAGTTGTCTACGCAAAATACTCAACATCCACTGGCCGGATACTATCAACAACAGCGTTTTATGGGAGAGGACAAACCAGCTTCCAGGTGAAGAGGAAATTAGGAAAAGACGTTGGAAGTGGATCGGACATACATTAAGGAAATCACTAATGTGCATCACGACTCAATCCCTAACTTGGAATCCGGAAGGGAAGCGGAAAAGAGGAAGGCCAAAGAACACACTACGCCGGGAAATAGAAGTCGATATGAAAAGGATGAATAGCAACTGGAAAGGAAGGCTCAGGACAGAGTTGGATGGAGAATGCTGGTGAGCGGCCTATGCTCCTCGACGAGGGGTAACAGGCGTAAGTAAGTAAGTAAGTAAGATTGGTATAATAGCGGTTATCGAAGTGAACTATTAATGAAGCACGGCACTACATTATCACCACTAAATTAACTACTTCTACGAATTCGATGTTCATTTTCTTGTGCTAATGAGATATAGCAACTTGAACTGATGCATATGTGTGCTTGGTCCTACGTTGTAGCTGACTGACTGACTTTAGATTGATTCTAATCATTTATAACGAGTTAGAGATTTTGTTCTTGAAATTAATACAGGATAATGATACATGATAAAATTAAAGGTTTTTGATATAACGTACCTAAAATGCACATTGCAGCACATAGATAGAATAGATTATCCCATTCATGAAACTGTGGAATTACGATGGACAATAGTGAGACGAACAGACCACCGAATACCTATTTGTGTATGTTTAAGAAGCATCGTATAAAATATTAGTGTTCATATATACTATAATAACACAGGGTATAATGAGTATAATTAATAATAAAAAGGTACTAAAACTAAATGTTGTTAGTTCGCAAAATAACAACTTTACTTAGCTATACGTATTACGTGAAAATCGATGTACAATCTGGTCCATCTTATAGTAACCTTTTGATCAAACGAATTTTCTTAAAAGATCAGTCCTCTTCTTAATAGCTGATTGAGCATACTTATAAATAGTCTCATGAATACTTGTATGAAGATTTTCTGTTTCATTTAGTACGTAATTCAGTTCTTTAAGGCGTTACAGCACCAAGCAATAGGTATTCTGGTAATAAAATTAATAAATTGTGACAAATAAAATCCCTATTTGTAAATCAATTTAGAAAACAAAGATGAATTAGATATCATGTTGTAGTTTCTGTGTTTATGTTAAACCCATATACTTTATTCTAGCTTTTGGCCAAGCCAATTCACCTATACATTGAGTCATATTTTGATCTTATTCATTATTCGCTTATTAACCTTGACTATATTTTATATGAGCGTAATTGTGTGTACCCTTCGTATCCTATTCATCATATGTCTGTCATTCATTTTTGTCTGATTATAAATATTGAGTAATGCTTGCTTATAGCGAGTTGGCTTCTCCGCCAATCTCCAACACGCATTATTTTTGCTTCACTCTCGAGTTGGCTTCCCAGCCATCTCCACTATACATCATCTCTGCTTCGCTCGCTTACACTTGCTCATGTACTCACGGCTTTCTGGTCTTCATCACTCATCAATAAAGATGTAGTTGCCGCTTCCTTTTGCCTTCTGATATTATACACCGTTAGGATTGGTATAATAACGGTTATCGAAGTGAACTATTAATGAAGCACGGCACTACAATGTCAGAAAATGACACAGACTAATAAAAGTTCAAATAGTTTTGTATATATTAGTTATTAATTAATGGTCATTACTAAAAACTGTGTATATTTCCTGCATCTCAGGGTTGATGCTCACTCTGGGACTCGAACCCAGTACCTTTCGCTTCAAACGCTCGCGCGTTATCCACTCGTCCACTGAGTCCTGATAGCCACTTGCTTGTGCAATGGGGTGAAGTCCTGGATTCCACTGGTGGCCACTATCCATCTTTGCTTACCATGCTTGTGAATTTAGGTTATATCGAGGCAATACGCACAGTATGCACATATGCCAATTAGAGACTGACCAGTTGCAGTCCTAAAAACATCAGTGGGAAGATCCAAACAAACAATACTAAGTAAATTTGTGTATATTTCCATTTATCCAATTGTAGTTCCGTTGGTATTTACATATAATTGAACTACATCATTCCAAACAGAGTTCAAATGAAGTTTGTAATGCTAGTCGCCAAAATTAGTTTCAAAACAGAATCTCATGTAAGGGCTGTATTTTTTTTAAATGACAAATCTGTTGATAAATATTAAAGAATTTATCCAGAGATAGTTTAACAAAGTTAAGTTACATTATTATTGACAAAAAAAACAAGCAACACGAAGTAAAAATAGATAAATAAGTGGTGTAATTGCTGCTTAGATTTTTTTGAGAAAGCCTCTATTTGTTTGTTGAACTTTGTAATTAGTGATGATACTTCATTCGAAAACCTGATAACAGGTACTTAGCTATTGCAGGAACATATGATTATTTATAGGTCAGAATTATCAAAAGATTAACTAGAAAATTCAATTAAATAGGTGAAAAATATGCTCATATATGAATAAAATTAAATAACTTTCTGTAAATTGGTTATATGTATTTGTAAGAATACCATTTCAAAGCTGTCTGATGTTAAGCTAAACTAATAGTGTCATTGACACACTAAATTATTATCGTTTAGAAATTGATACCCAGAGGCAGCTTGTAAAGAATTTCTGGGTGTATGAAAACAACAAATTGGAAGGTTTAGTGATAATAATTAGCAACTTTCTATTATAAATATAATATCCTGCAAATTCGGGTGATATAACTCAGTAGCTGTATATCATACTTTATTCAACAGGTATTCAAGATGAAATACCGATTTTACTCTGATAATTATTTGATTGAAAGTTGACTGATTTTAACTGCTGTTCCAACTTATTTTCTCATGTTATGACCATCTAAATTATCTCAGGCTTCTTTTCATCAAGTCAGTTTGTTGGAAAAAACATATACTACTTATTGATCATAGGAGTCCACCTTACATCTGAATATCGTGCACGGAATTTTTTGATCATTCTTATTATATTATATTTACAAAATGACATTTCCTAGTATTTTCGTATTGATGTTATTTTTCAACAAGGAGACAAACACGATCTCTCACTTGTCATTAAGCTTTTAGAGAACTTTTTTCACAGTGATCTCATTGTTGAATGAAGTCCAAAACGTATGACAGCTTTTTATGTTTATATACAAACTATCCATATTTAACACCATAAGAATTCTTTGAATTGTAATGTTAAAGATATACAGTTGCAGAATTTGGTTTTAAAAAAATCAAAGTTGAGATAAATATGAGGCCAATTTATGTCTTAAATAGCGCTTATAAATTCATTTTCATTAGCTAATTCATTGCCTGACTTTGATTGAAGAAGAGATATCAGGAAAAAGGTTTCCAAAGTTATGTAAAAAAATATAAGGTCAATATCCCCCATTATCACACTTTTATCAAAGGTGGTAAACTTGCAAAATAATTCAAACATCTTGTTTGCTCCAAGCCTACTAAATCGAGTTTTGCTTTAAAAAGGTCAAGTGATAAGAAAGAATTCCTCGTCAAATCATGGGTTAACTCTTGTTTCCCGTCCATCTTGTGGGAAATAAGGATTTTATAAGTTGAATAAATATCAACAAAGTAATCAACTTACAAAAGCATTGAAAACTAATCCGTAGTTTACAGCCATATTAATTGGTCCAAATAAGGTTTCTGTAGCAGTTGGTGCAAAGACAAGCACACCACTAATTAATAAATAAAGACCACATAACCAAATACCAAAACCAACTTTGATTTGAGGTCCAAATATCAACGGTAAATGTGGGAATGAAGTTAGTAAAAGTGACCAGCATAAAAGTATGATGCACAATGGAACCTGACATCCAAATAATGAAATACATTAGATTAAGGTTAAGCAAATATTCATTGACTGGAAATGATAATACTGTAGTTAACGAAGGCTTAGACAAGAAAAAAACAAATTATATTATATGAAATTACAGTGTCTTTTTGAAATATGAAAACAATCAGTCAAATACGCTGTTCGCTCACCTTTCTTAAATTATCTATTACAGACTACATCGTTTTGCATTCACTTTTCCTTTCTCTTCTCTTCATTTTCTCATTCTGTCAGTAAGAATTCTACTTCCAAAACATGAAACATACTATTTATATTTGTCTGTATATATAGCACCCACCATAATACTACCTCACCAAATTTTAGTCACTTACTTAAATTCGTTTTTCGTAAACTTCATACTACTGTTTAGTAGTTGAAATGATTATTTAAAATTAGTCATTAGTGTAGGCAGACATGTGTTAAGATCTTAGAATATTTCTTAAAATTAATCATTCTCATCAGGTGCACTAATCTTTCTAGTAAATTTAGTCATTAGATCTATTCAATGTTTGTAGTAAACTAACATAAACGTAAAATTTCCAGAATTAATTTTTTTACTAAAAAGTAATGTCCTAGCCTGAAATATTGTTTAAGAAAACCGTCAAGTTGTGAGCAAATAGTTATACTTGAACTTCTCTCAATGTATATCAGTTTTATCAGTAATGACAATGAGTAAAAGTCCCGCTGTTACTTAAAATTTAGAATTTGTTTGCACATCTGTGTTTTTATCAGTAAATCAATATATAAATATCACCTTCCGATCACTGATCGGAATAATTATTATTATGTGAATGTGTAAATGAATGGTGCGAGTGGTCAACCAGGGTGCTTGGTACCTGTGTGGTTGCGCCACAGGATTGAGCTGTACTATTCATATTGTAGTGTTGAAGCCTATATGGTGTCTGGTTTTCCTGTGAAGCGGGATTGAGCTGTACTGCTCGGTTTAAGTGTGGGCGGTGTCTGGCTCTCCTGCGAAACGGGATTAAGCTGTACTGTTTGGGTTGTCACGTGAAAGACTGGATGGTGTCTGGTTCTCCTGAAAACCAATGCAAAATTACCCTGGCTCACAAGGGTATATTATATAACTATTTGAAATATTATTCATGTGAATTCACGGGTTGTCTACTGAACACGTGACATATATCTGAATGTCATCAGAGGTTTTGTAGTTAGCCACCTAAACGATAAGCTTCAAGACTTGAAGCGACTTTTGTTCAAGATATCAAACTCTTCTTGATGGCCTGACGTAAGCGATGACAGTTGTGAAATGAAAATGATGTTTATTCATATATTCAAATTTTGTTTATGAATTTGACACGTCATTACCCTTCGTCTTACTGTCCTTACTTCTGTGGCAAGTATAGAATATTATATAACTATTTTTTTTAAGTCGTAAAGGAAATAGTTGATTCGCTGTTTGATATATTTGTCCTATGTTTTGGTTCATCTGTTTTAGCAAAGTTGTTTTCTAGGGGATGGGATTGCTGACTCTATGTCCATACCTCCTCCATCAACCGTACTTGAGACCGGCAGTAACCCTAGAAGAGCTGAAAGTGGAGATAGAAGAGAAAGGTACGAAAATGGCGAGAGATTCGCAAATCAATGTGTATTCAACAAAACGGTTATAATTGGCACTAGTTCTCCCACAAACGAATAGACAAAGCTAGATGGGTCTCACCAAATCACGCTACACAGAACCAGATCGATCATATTTGCATCACTAACAAATTGAGAAGGTCCATGAAAGACGTGAAAAACGGGAGGGTAACTGGCATGGCTTCAGATTACCATTTGGTTGTGGCCAAGATGAAACTGAAGCTGAAGAAGCACTGGACAACTGAAGAAACAGCAACACAATGGTTCTATACAGCCTTTCTTTGATATACTCACAAAATCAACCTATTCAACATAGCTCTCAACAACAGGTTCCAAGCCTTACTAGATCTACTCAAAGAAGAAACTACTATGGGGAAAAATTGAAAATAGATCAAAGAAGCACTAACGTCAACGTACCAGGAGTTTCTAGGCCGCAAGAAGCACCATCATAAGGAATGGATCTCTATCAAGACACTGGATAAGATTCAAAAAACGAAGAACAAGAAGAGAGCAATTAACAACAGCCGAACAAGAACAGAGAAGGTCGAGGCACACACCAAATACAAAAAAGCAAACAAGTGAAGAAATGCATTGGAGCCGACAAACTGAAATACGTGGAAAAAGCTTCAAGATAAGAAAATATGAGACAGCTATATGACACAATGAAGAAACTAGCATAGAAATATAGTAAACCAGAGAGGTTAGTCATGGATAAAGAAGGCAAGCCAGTCACTGAGATTCAAGAAAAGAGGAACAGGTGGGTAGAACTATTGAATAGACCAGTCCCATTGAATCCACCGGACATTGAAGCAGCACACACGGCCATTCCTATAGATGCCACAAATGCCGACAGACTGGAAAGAAGGATATCTCATCAAGAAAGAAAGAAAGAAGATTTGAGCAAATGTAAGAACTACAGATGCAAAACATTCCTATCGGTACCAGGAATAGTTTTTAACAGAGTATTTCTGAATCGGATGAAAGATTCAGTAGACACCCAACTTCGTGATCAACGGACTGGATTCTGTAAGTATTGGTCCTACAGAGTCCAAATCGCGACACTAAGGACCACTGTTGGACAATCAATTGAATTGAACTTATCACTATACAACTTCCTTGACTATAAGAAAGCGTTTGACAGCCCCGATAGGAGAATGTTATGCAACCCTCTTCGGCACTATGATGTATTTTACAAGATTGCCATCACCATACGGAATTCTTACGATGGACGACACTAAAATATGGTGCATGAAGGATAACTCCCAGAGTCATTGCAAGTGAAGACCGGTACCAGACAATGCTGCTTACGCTCGCCTCTTCTATCCAGTGCACAGCAACAAATGCAGGTGAAGACAGACAGTGTAGCAGCATCCTATACAATAATAGACCTCAACATTCACAAAGAGAGAAGTAAGATCCTGTAATATAACACAGAGAACATCAACGCAATTACACTTGATGAAGAAGCTCGGAAAGAGGTCGAACCTTTCACGTAACTGGACAATATCATCGATGAGCAAGGAGGATCTGATGCAGACCTAAATTCAAGGAATGGCGAAGCAATGGCAGCATCTCCACAGTTGAACAACATATGGAACTCAAAACAACTGTCAACCAATATCAAAGTGAGAATCTTCAATACGAACATCAGGATAGTGAGTTATATTGTACATACCTTGTTCGACACAATGATATACTTGACAAGATCGTCAACATCAAGAATTCATACGACGGACTACGCTACAAAGCGATGCATGAAGGACAACTCACAGATTCATTACAGATGAAGACCGGTGTCAAACAAGGCTACTTGCTTGCTCTCGCCTTTTCTCTTTCTTCTCGTAGTTGACTGGATTATGAAGACCTCCATATATCAAAAGGAGGAAAGAAATGTACTGAACGGCTTGTATGTAGTTAAACGATCGTATAATCATTTTGAAATAAGATGTATAGCCGAGCACGCAACTGTCAGATACATTAATTCAACTTTATTGGTTAACTCGTGCTCTCTTGTGTGATTAATTCGAGTACCTTACAAGTGAATCCTCCCAATATCCCTTTATCCTGTTCTCTGTTTATCTATCTATCAGCCATATTTCGTCATTGTATTGGTCCATGAGTACCAGAGGCAAGTTGACTGATTGACACTCTGAACATTTTGAATTTATTTCAACACAATGCAAATTAGACCATTATGACTTAGCCCTGGATTTATCTCACTATAATACAATTACTGGATGTTCTGTTGATAGTGCTATTTCCATTCCAATACAAGTACTGATGTTTTTAAATGTCAGCTTCAAGATAAAGTCAGTTCAATTACAAAGTGACCTAAATCTGGTGTTAATCCAACACTACTATTACTTTGCTTTACTTGTCCATTCAATGCTATTATACTTTGATTGTTTATTACCACTGCACATGCTAGTGAATTCAATTAATGAAATATATATTCAAGAACTTTTGCATACTATTTCTTACTGAATTCATTTTTCCTTGGTCATCGATTGTAAAGACAACGAGCATAAAAGACCTCTACTTCTCAAGGGAAGCACGGAATACTATGGACGGCTTGGATGCAGTTGGCGATTTACATTTTGCAGATGACCTAGCCCTTCTATCCCATACACACCAACAAATGAAGGTGATTACAGACAGTGTAGCAGCGGCCTATGCATCAGTAGGCCTCAACATACACAAGGGAGAAGCCAAGATTTTCAAATACAACACGGAGAACACCAATTCAATCACACTTGATAAAGAAGCTCTGGATGAGGTGGAAACCTTTATGTACTTGGGCAGCATCATTGATAAACAAAGAGGATCTGATGCAGATGTAAAAGTACGGATTGGCGAAGCAGCAACAACATTTCTACAATTGAAGAACATATGGAACTCAAAACAAGTGTCAAGTCAAAATTTTCAATACGAACTTCAAGACAATCCTGCCGTACGGAGGTGAAACGTGAAGAACTACCATAACCATCATCAATAACGTGTAGGTAATTTTAAACGTTTATCTGCGCAAGATACTCAATGTCTGTTGACCGGAAATCACCAGAAATAGTTTACTGTGGGAGAGAACAAACCGATCTTGAGCTCAAGAGCGAATTAGGAAAAGTCTCTGAAAGTGGATAGGACATACATTGCAGAAATCACTAAACTGCATCACGAAGCAAGCGATAAATTGGTATCCTGAAGGAAAACGGAAAAGAAGAAGACCAGAGAACACATTGCGTCGGAATCGGAAGCAGACACCAGAAGAAAGAATAGTGACTAGAGAACTGGGAGGGATCGCTCGGAAAAGAGTTTGATGTAGAAATCTGTTGGGCGGCCTATGCTTTTCCACGAGGGGTAACAGGCGTAAGTAAGTAATGTTTCGACTCAATCAATAATAACTATAGACAGCTTACTCAGTAAACAATGATTTGTTTGGCTAATTTAGAGAAACAACGAACAATTTTATCTACAGAGAGCAGGAAATTCCATAAGAACCAATCAGCCAAAAATAATTTTCGAAGCATTAAGTTCTGAATATAAGGTAATTTTATTGTAAATAGTGAATTTCAGATTTTATGTAAAATATATGACAAATGTTGAGGTGAGGATTTCTATAAATAAAATATTTTAAGTTGCAGAAAGAACTTAAAACCTTAGAAATTTACCTTGAACGAAATACGATCACTGATAGCACCCCAGAAAGCACGTCCAACAGAATTGAATACAGCCGCAACGACACCCATAATAGCAAGAAATCTGTCATCGTTAATATGAGATTTACCAAAGAGCTGAAAAATTGTAAATTAATTTTCGTGATTTGATTGTTATTGCGACTATTTTTTAAATATTGAGGATGCTTTTCTCAACAAGACATGACTTAAATCTTCAAACGGTCATACAAATTCAAGCAGAAAAAGTAATCAGATAAAATACATTTTTATTATAGCAAACAACTTGTCACTGGCGTTACGAATTGACTATTCCAATAGTCTCACAGGAATCTAAGGTTTACAGAATCACTGGTAAACATAAAAATAATTAAACGATTTCAAGGAAGTTTATAGGTCAGTTTGTTTTATTTTAAATGCTTTTTTCGTATTATTAAATTTACGAAGTTAAATTTACTATTATGAAAGATTAGCATAATATATTTGGGCCGTTTGCTTATTAAAAATAACTAAAGTTGAAAAACTCTCTCATTCCGATTTCCAAGTAGCTATGATTCACAAATTTATATTCAATGAAATTTTCTGGTACCACAGGTTCTTTCATCTGATGTACCACTAGAATCTATTGAAAATGTAGTGTTTATAGAGAAGTTCATCTAAAATGCTTGGAGTACAGGGAAGTATTGTTTGTCGACATGTCTCAGCGTAATGTGAAGGTTTTTATTCAAACCTTAGCAAACTCGTTTAAACCAGAAATTATTTAGAAGTCTTTAAAAATCAAAGTGCATTTCAAAACCATACATTAATGTAGCATAAATTGCACAGTCAAATTTGTGACTAGTAAATTTAGACTTACAGATATAAGATTTTTGAATATTTCACCTATGAAGAAACAAGTGTCCAGTGATTTCTGATATTCAGTGTTTCGTCATCTTCATTCAGAATAAACTATCTATTTGGCAGTCGTTAGAAAGTAGCTTTACTCAAATCAGTTTATCAGTTTCATACAACCTAAAATCTCTTAACAGTTATCACTAACAAATCATCTTACTAGTGTCATGGAGAGTAAAAAGTCAATTGTTAAAAGTAAATGCAATCAAAACGGTCATCGATTTTTATTATAATTGAATCTCTTCAAGCCAAGGGAGACCTGCAATACTTGCAGAATACGATGACTTTATTTTATTTTGTAGCCTTCTGTTCAGCTACATAAACGCTAGTGAGTTTAATTGTTTCCAGTTATTAACATAATGTTGAAAATAAAATTATTAACAAAGAATCTGTTGACCAGAATCCAAAGAAAATGTTAAGAGTTGTGTTCTAATTCATTGAACGTATTGGAATCAATCAACAAACAATCCGATACTGTCTTTCGGAAATTCGCAGTGACCACATATTTATAGGGCTAAAGCCTGACCTTTGTAGTTAGCCTTCGATTAGCTTGGTAACAGAAGCAACCTAAGGGTTTTAATCCTTTCTTCTTTTTTTCAATTAATGAAAATCACAATCCAGAGAATTAAACGCGAACGTCGCATTTTTCTTTCTAAACTTCGTAAAAATTCCGTTACATTATGCCATAAATATTTTCTCAGGTATTCTGAAACCATCGTCCTAAATAATAATATTAATAAAACCTTTTTAAAAATTCACTTATCTTTTTTTAAGATTCCCAATGACCAAATGATGGTTCATTCCTTCAGATCGGATTTTATGTTAATATTTGGAAACAATTAAACTTATTAGCTTTTATATAGCTACAGAGAAGTTAACGAAATGCAATAGATTTACCGTATTCTTCAAAATATTTGTTCTTGCTTCGTTCAGTCATCAATTTGTTCTGGAATCGGTGGCTTGTCATTGTGAATCAGTGCATCATTTTTTATCAGCACATTGCTGATAAACACTTGATGATAAGTCATATACAATCCACTCTACTTTGTAGTCTAAGGGGAAAATATGGAGTGGGATACGACTGAAATCAGAGTTCGTCTTTACTGTATCTATAAGATAAGGCTGACTGGTGAAGTTTAGATAAACCGATAGTTTAACCTATTCAAGCAGAGTTTGTTAGTTGAACATAGGTTAGTTAATATCAGTATTATTATAGAAACACAAAGAAAAACTTTGACACTTAACTTTCAGAGTGGGGATGGATTGTAAATGTATGAATTAAATTATTGTTTGGATGAATATTTGAATGCTCACTAGTTCCATTTCAAGCATAATATATAATCAAACCGAATGAGACATTTAAATTTACGAATAAATAAAGGTTGAAGCAATTAGTCCCTTTGATAAATTTTGATAGAGTAATAAGAAGACGAAGATTATCAGAACTATGTGATATATTAGCGCAATACATTTCGAACAATCTGATCACACATATACTTGTTAAGAACATTATTATTATTATTATTATTATTATTATTATTATTATTATTATCCTTGTCTCCTCTTACCCCTTCATTTCCAGTCTAGTTGACCCTATATTTTTATATATAAATGTTCTTAACAAGTATATTATGTGTGGTCAGATTGTTCTAAATGTATTGCGCTAGTATATCACATAGTTCTGATAATCTTCATCTTCTTATTACACCAACAAAGGTTAAGTTTTGTTTAATCTGAAATTTATTGTCTGTGAAAAATTTGAAACATCTGATTGTATAAATTCATTTAGTATTGTTTGTTTGAATCCTTCAATCGATGTGTTAGGACTGCGGAGTGAACATCAACTCTGAGATGCAGGTACATCCAGCTGACGAGTCCCAAATGGGACGAAACGCGCGTCCTGGATTCCACTGCTTGCCACTATCCATATTTGCTTACAGTGCATCCGAATGTATAGTTTATAAAATTGCTTACTAACTTTTTTAAAAATAAAGTTTACTCTCATCAGTGTTTGATAAGATGGGTCAAAAGTTAATACGTTAATAGACGATATTTCGATATACTTTATATGTTTCTTAATAATTTATTTATTTACTTTTTGTTTAATAGAACATATTCACATTATATCACCAATAATTAATATAATTCAACCTTGAATTGTGATGTGATTTGTCGCTAGACTAAAAACACAATTACTGTAGTAATAATAATTGTTGATCTCTGAATAAACGTAATATTGCAGTGGGAAGGTTATAATACTAGATTATGAAGTGAAAATACAATAAAAGATCATTTCTCATAGCCCCATAACTTTATTCATAATTGTTTGACACTAATTGATTTCATTTAACTCTTCTATTACCCTTCATTATTGCCACTAAAACATTGAAATGATCTTACACCAGTTACATTAAAATCGATTGTTGACTTAGTAATTTTACAAATCTTTTTATTTTCATGTACACAGCCTTTCACTGTAATCATTGATAACCGCAATCCTCCTAATTTTTGAATAGTAATTGTTCAAAGCCAGAAAAGTATGTATCGCCACTGGACATTGTAAGTTAAACACAATTAATATTCACCGATTTTTCCAATAATTCTGACGGATGCAAACTATCTGGAGATAATTGTAGTTTTTCGTCACTGTTGTTTATGACTGTAATTAGTTTGTCACTTCTGGCAAATATGCATCCTGAACAGGTTGGCTGGGTATTGTCACTTTGTAACAAGTATTTCGGTAAAGGTGACCAATGCAAATTGTATTCTAACTGTACAGCATAATCGCCAAATTTCGATCCTACATTTTTAGCCTTTATGAAATCCTAAATGCCATAAAAGTCTAAAATCAAGGCTGCTACTTTATTGATTATGTTAATCAAACAGTATTGCATGTTTTAACCAGAGTAGCTGATCAGAACTATGTGCAAAATCGGTTTCAGCCAAATAGAAACACAGACTTTACTAGATTGTAAAAAAATATGTCTAACCTTGAAAAGCGTTGCCAACGATGTCAAAGGTATTCCAGCACAAAATATAATGATCCATAAGAAATAAAATTCTTTCTGTTTCAATAATTCCAAAGGTCGTAAATTTACTGAACTTTGTCAAGAAAAATAAACACGCTTAACAATTACAAATCATTCTAATTAATTAAACTGTTATTTACAATGAAACACATCGTTCGGTATTCTATTATTTGGTATATTTCGTAGCTATGACGACATTTCATGATATTGATCAGTAAAATGATCCACCTTTTTACATATGAAGTAATTACTTCTATTTTGGTATCAAAAGGCATTAGTGGAATTCTAGCACAAAGTGCACTAAAAGTGGCTCTTAGAGAAATGTTACGCTATACATTATACTTTGATATTTGAAGACTCGTGAACTGCAAACACGAGAAAATCAGGCTGGCTTCAGACCTGGTCGTGGCTGTATCGACCACATATTCACCATTCGTCAAGCTTTAGAGTACAAACATGCATATCGGCGTCCGACAATGATAGTTTTTCTTGACTTGAAAGCAGCATTTGACTCTGTAGACCGAGAGGTTCTGTGGCAGTGTCTGTCATTGAAAGGTGTACCTGAGAAGTACATAAACCTTGTGAAGGCTCTTTACTCGAACACTACCAGTCGAGTGAGAGCTTATGGCGAACTGTCACCTGATTTTTACAACCTCAAGTGGTGTCCGTCAAGGCTGTCCGCTATCCCCATTTTTGTTTAACTTCATTATAGACCTGTTGCTGGAAGTAACACTCTCGTCGACTGAATTTTCAGGAATTGATCTTCTACCAGAAGGTCCACTTATCGACTTAGAATACGCAGATTACATAGTCCTGTTTGGTGAAGACACTCACAAAATGCAGAATCTTCTGTTGGAACTCAGTAATAATGCCAGGATGTTTGGGATGCGTTTCTCCCCATCCAAATGTAAATTGTTACTCCAGGACTGGCCTGCGTCAACACCTGAACTAAGGATAGGGAGTGAAGTAGTCGAACTCGTCGACAACTTCACTTATCTTGGAAGTCTGATCAGCCCTAATGGGTTGGTGTCTGATGAAATCTCAACACGGATTCAAAAAGCTCGTTTGGCGTTTGCCAACTTACGTCACCTATGGCGAAGACGAGATATCCGTCTATCAATTAAGGGACGAGTATACTGCGCAGCAGTTCGTTCTGTTCTACTTTACGGCTGTGAAACATGGCCATTAAGAGTAGAAGATACTCGTAGGTTACTAGTATTTGACCACAGATGCCTTAGAAATATTGCTCGCATCTGCTGGGATAAGCGTGTAAGTAATAGTGAGGTTAGGCGCAGGGTATTAGGGAATGATGGTAAATCAGTTGATGAGGTGATGAATCTTCAGCGACTGAGATGGTTAGGCCACGTGGTACGTATGCCTGAACACCGATTACCACGACGCGCAATGCTGACTAGTGTAGGGGATGGTTGGAAGAGAGTTAGGGGTGGACAAACCAAAACATGGCATCAGTGCTTGAAGTCACTAACTTCTCGTTTGAGCCATGTTGGCAGATGCAGACTACCTGGTTGGGGTCCGTGTGACCATCGTAATAAATGGTTGGAGACTCTCGGTGACATGGCTCAGAATCGATCACAATGACGTAGGTGTATACACTCTTTATCTTCCCTTAAACCTTGAGACTAAAATTGCTTCATATCTCTCTTCCTTCCTGTACTATATTCTTATATACAACCTTTCTTTTATATACTACCACCACTAAATTAACTACTTCTATGAATCCGGTGTTCATCTCGTTGTGCTAACGAGGTATGGCAACTTGGACCGATGCATATATGTGCCTGGTCCTACGTTGTCGCTGACTGACCTTCTCGTGGCGGGGGTGTTGTTTACGAAGTTGAGAGGACGAAAAGCGAATGTCCGGCGCTTTAACCGGGTTGGTGGACATGTAGGGTCCACCTAGGGGGTTGGAAAACCCTGATTCCAAACCAATGGTGCACATAGGCTCCAGTATCATGATGGAACGAATGGCGTATGAACCTATTGTTAGTCACCGGCTACCGTGAGACTACATCTCCTCACGATGCTCCACTGCCTTGTGGATCAGACCTTTCGGTCAAAGGCTCGGTGTGTGGCCCCTTAAGAAGACCACCTGCTTCAGTCTGGACACCTGGGCAGTATCACAGCCCTCACACAAATCAAATGAGATATGTGAGGCGCATATTTATCTGGTGCTTCCTTGTACCAATATTTATGTGTTTAAATAAATAAATAAATAAATAAATAATCATTTTGTCTGGTCTATTGAGAGATTATGACTTTACTTTATATGACAAAATATACGTTAAGAAAATAAAAAAATACGAGGTTAACTGATACTGAGGATAATATTTATTGTTCCAGGTAAGATCTACTGTTCCTTGATTATGTTCGCCTAAAAAATGTAATCTAACATCATTCATTTAGGTTAGAGATCTGATTTGAGGTCGTGTCATGAAATTTGATAAATCGAAATGAGGCCTGATTGATGGCCAGCAATGGTCCCACTTTATTAGTATCCTTGATAAGTGCAAAATGTCTCCATCACATATAACGGGCTGAATTTATGAAGCGGTCAAAAGTCGACTAATTCAGTATCATCAATGATTAAGGTTGTGAAGTATAAATGAAACTACCCTAGAAGTATGACATATTCACAGATTACTGAGTAATCAGGTTTACTCGTTTTTGAAAGTGAAACAAAAATTTGTTAGCATTCGCCCTACATTTCCTTGTCGTGTTTCGGAATTCAAATGTTTTACATATGCATCAAAATTTACAGCGATATTAATTTACGAAGAATAGTAACTCTACCAATGAAATCCGTTAACTTACTTTATAACAGGTGGAAATTCATGCTAAGCAACAAAGAAAATTTATAAAATTGTCAGTTACATTGATTGAGGTTGTTTTTATTGTTACATATTACAAAATGATGGAATTAGAATGTATGATTAACAGAAAATGTCATTAATATCTTTTATGAGATTAACATGATACTTTTATTTACTTAATAAAGGGTAACTCAAATAATGAGAAATCTTGGTCTTATTACACTTTATGTTTCATAATTATCCTGTCCACATTGTTACGCTTTAAGTCACTATCGTAAGACATTGTTCATGTTTATAATAAGGAAGAGACGAAGTTAATTCACGTCTTAAAGGTATTTTAGAAACTGCCTCTTTCACAGAATATAACCATTTTTGTTTTACGATATTTTTGAACCTGCATTCTAATCCTGTAGAAATTTCACTTTTTTTTCGTGATTAAAGGACTAGACAACTTTTTTAGAAATTAAACCCATTTACCTAATGAGTAATGTAGTAAATCTTAATTCCGTATAATTAAACTGTCACTAAATTTATTAAAGCTTAGTCTGGTACTATGATTTTTTTCGACGCGAAAGCCGTATTTACTGTTGGCTAAATCAAACTGGTGCAAGTTACAGTTTTATTTACCGCAGTTCGTTATAACTGAAAATTTACTACTTACTACATTTCTATAAAATGAATTCATTGGGAATTTAATTGAAATTCATTTATAACTTGAGATCTGTTTTAATGAGTAGTCAAAACACCAGCCAATTGTAGTTTATAACTTGATTTACAGTTTCTGTAGACTACGATCCTATTGTTCTGTCAAGTGAATTACAAGATGCAACTAATTCTCAAGTGATTTGTTGATTGTGCAAAATCTTTGTTGCTTGACATTTCTTAAAAGTAAATTGAGACATCAAAAGCTGACAAAGTTTGTTTGATGCATATAAATAAGAAATTTATATTCAGCTATTTTAACTTACTGACTTATCTGAAACCGTGAGGTCATGATTCACCTTCTTAAATGAAGAAAATAAAGATTAATTTCAAATTCAACTAATAAAATGACACTAAGAGTATAATTTAAAAACTGAACAACAGCAAATCATTTTTCACAAACTAGGATACTTGTTTGTCTTAGGATTTCTACTAAACACAGACATGTATGATACATTAAAAACGATTATACTTATAAACCTTTGAATGGATAATAGAAACTACTGTAGATGTTTATAGCATTAAGATAAGTTTTTTCCAACCAATTGTTCAAAATAACCAGCCAAGTATCATAATAGTTCAGGATGTAAAACATAATATTATGATCACTGTACTGCTAATATCAGTTCAAGGTGAAAAGTTTGTTTAATATATCTACATCATCTTTTAATTAATGTCTTCTTACCTGTTGTTTATCTCTCATCAAATATAACCCAGTTAACTGGATAACTAACAAAACACCACCAATAAGTAGAAACACAGAAGGAACACGATTAATTAAATCAGCATCTTCAAATCGCCTGTTGAATGAAGACCAAAAAGTATATTGATTGTTACAAAGTGATGCTTTAACTAATTATAGTGAATGTCACAGTCTAAAATAATTGAAAGAATATCCATATCATAGAATAAGTTATAATTAATATGAGTTATAAATAGTGCATAACTCCTTTTGCGATGGTTACTTGTATAAAACATCAAATCTCACAATTAACTAAATTAGTGAGCAGATATGAATCAGTAAATTAATAATAACATAGTGAAATAACTCTACGTCCCACTTCAACAAACAGTTAAAAAAATTAAGATATCCTTTTAATACGAACTCGGAGAAACTTCTGATTGGTCAGATCAAGCTAGAAAAAATCTAGATTACCAATTTAAAGAAGTGTATTTTTGTTCAGTCTCCATAACTTTAGTAATCGGAACCGAGAACTTAAAGGGAAAAACAATAGCATTTTTTCATTTATTTAAAACTGAATTCGTTTGAATTACTGTCAATGACCAACTGGAGCTCAAACAACGATCATACAAAATTGATCTGTAATAACTTCACAAATTCTGGCATAAATAGTCGGCATTGATTTGATAAGATGCTTCTTAGTCAGATTACTTTTATCCATGAAAGTGCAATAGTATGTTCGATAGTAGAAGTAATATTAGTAGTAGTGGTGATAGTAGATGTCCTATTCTTAGTATTTCGTCGTACACATCGTCACGGTTCTTGATAAATTTATGAGTGTTTTTCAATATTATGGAAGTTGTTTTAGTGTAATAGCGTTTTTGGGATCGTACCTTATGGAAATTAGGTCTGTCCGTTGTTACTTATTTGAATCTATGTAACTTAAAAATTTATGAGAGATCTCGTAAGAAGCTAAACCATTTAAAGTGACCTGAGCCTATCTCTGGTAAATGGTGACATTGTTCTTCTAGAATGCTTGAGCAGCTGAGATGAATATTTATTTTTAAGAAGTGAGGATGTTCACTATGTTTCAATTAAATATTCATCTTATTAAATACATTTACTGACTTTGTTTTGTCATCTGTCTTGATATTATTTGGATTAATGTACATTGTTTGAATCGGTGTAAAGATAATGGGACCAGCCCCAAAGCCACCAACAATTAGGCCAACAATTAAACCTCGATGATTTTGAAACCACTATTGGATAGAAGAAAGACAAAGTATCAGAAGTATTTCTTGCTGATGAGAAAAAAGGAATACAGCTGGTGAAAAGAAGAACAAAGTACATATACATATTTTTTTTAAACTTGATAACTGATGTCAGCGTAATCAATCAAACCTGATCACTTAAATATAAAAATTTATTAATACTAATCAACTGTCTGTGCACTTAGACATTTATTGTTATAAAATGAAATATTCATCTCGTGATTTCCGCAGTTCTTAATAAAAAGTGATAGTGACTGAAATATTATTTAAAAAGATCACTGAAAACATTTTCCACTGTTATTTCAAAATTAAATAACATTTCATCTTAACAGTAATATTTTTATAAGCAGAGATAGATAATGGCTAGCATCAACTCTAAGATCCAGGTACATCCAACTGACGTGTCTCAAGTAGGATGAAACGCTGGTCCTTGATTCCACTGGTAGTAGCCGTCTATCTCTGCTCATAATGCTTGTGACCCAATGGCAATATTGAGGCAATCCGGACAGGACGCATATATGCCAATAAGATACTAATCAATTGCAGCCCTGGACATCAATAAGAAGATCCAAACAACCAATACAAATGAATTAGTGTTGCTCTTAGTTCTTGAAAAGTACATTAGTTTTAAGTTACTTATTCAGAATTCAAGTTAATTCCGTTATTAATTTTAAAATGATGATGTATTCTAACTTGGTAACAAAACATTTAGTATCTAATAAATAAATTAATATATTCGTAATATCCCAAATCAAAACTTGGTAATGATACCTATTTAGTATCCAAGTTTCAAGCATGGAACATTATAGATAAAATCAATAAACAAAATACACAAAACAAACTGCCTTGAAAATTAAGCGCCTGTTCACACCATTCAAAATGTATTTCATGCATCAAACGTTTTAGTTCAACCTACTTGTTATACCATCAAAACTTATAAAATTGCTTAATTGCTTTCAAAACTATTTTTTCGTAAAGGTCTATGCTTTGCTTTCGTTATTTTACGAGGCAGCTTAATTTATTAAACAAACTACAATAGTATATAAGAACTTTGGTCTAAATTGGAGCGAATGATTTCACAGTATTCGGGCGCCGAGCTGATGTAAGACATTAAATAGGAATAATATATTTGTAAAATCTCAGCGAATGAATTTGAAGTAAATCCAACGTTTCGCCTGGCAATCTGGTCCAAGCTTTTTCAAGGAAATATAATCAAACATCAAAATTATCAAATATTATTATTTATTTCCCTGAAGAAGTCCAAACAAGTTAGCTGGACGAAACGTTGGAATTATTTAAATTTCAATCGTTGAGACTATTTCAAATATAATTTTTTCACATATAATGTATTATTCAATAGTTTTCGAATATGGGGATTAGTATTTCACATAAAGATGAACTATTATTCGGGTCTCGCGGGGCAGGATCGTGAGTGCGCACTGCTGAGGAGTCCCACAATAGGACGAAACGGCCGTCCACTGCCCCGCATGGTGGTATAGCTTCAATTGACTCACGCTTTCAACTATGAAAATATTATTCAATTACCGTGTTAAATGTTTTCATTCGTTTATTGTAAACTATGTATAACTCAAAGGGTATATGGAAATGATTTATCCGTCAGTCAGACATTAATCTAAAGGTTTATGAAAACTATTATGTATTCACACTAAACTCATGGAATCATGAAGAAGAATATCTAAATAATGTTCGTTTCGTGGATCTTATTAATAACTCTATAATATATCCGTTATAGCAACCATCCTATAATCAATTCCGATTATAGTCAATTTTGGTTAAGCTCTTTTTATTAACTTATTTAACAGACATCGTCATTAGGATAGTAACAATTTGCATATTCTTTGAACTGCTATACCACTAAAGCACGTGACACTCTATCCAAAATGTTGACTGCATAAATATCATTCGATGACTCATACACCTCCCCATATGTGTACGCACGCAAATATTATTATCAGCCTTTATTTTGCTTTGCTGTGCCCTTATCAAATTTGACTATAAATTGCCTATGTAATTGCTTGCTATTCGCTCGCTTGCTCCTCGTTCGCTTCCTTCGCTTATTTGCCTGTTCACTCGATCGCTTGCCGCTCACTCGCTCGTTCATATTCGCTCAGGTGTTATTAGCTTTCTAACCTGAGTTATTCGACAATAAACTATACTTTAACTCGAAGAGTTATATGTTTGTTATGACTTTTTCCCTGTTAATTGTCACGTGACAAAATAGCTAATCCAAATACCGATTTATGTGGCCTTGTTCTTGTGTTGAACCAATGATACTTCGAAACAGCACAAAAAGCCTTGTGTCAACTCCGAATCCCTATTGGTCCCTCTCTCCAAACCTTGCTCATTAAGTCTAGAAAGCAATCTCAGCCTCCACTGTATGAATCGTATACTTCAGACGTACGTGGTTTATATACAAGCAAAGCAGACTGCATCACGCCATGAAATGAAAAATAATAATTATGCAAGATCAAGCCAAAAGTGCCTGTTAGTATAAGAGACTATAACTAATAAATTAGGAATAAGTTAAGAATAGTAAATCGTATAACAGTAGCCGATAGTTGAAATGAAAGCTTACGTTAACAAGCAGTAATGTGATTTAACATCAACTGTCTAAAGTGATTTTTAATTAGATTTCTTATTTTCATACAAGGAAAGCATTCTGTAATTTTGATAAGTGTTAATGTATCTACATGTTTAACTAATTCAGTTAAATAAATTAATTAACACTTCTTCGATTTCCCCACGTGTTGAACTGGGACGTAAACCCTGACAGGATAATCACTCAAGCACAAATATAACTAAGGATAATAGAGAAGATTTGTGACATGGATAGATCCCTTTAATGTCATCGAGTCCTATGAGCTAGATGGAATATTTGTGGAACTTTCATTGTCACTCTGTCTACCATCATCAGTGCTTACTTCATGTTGAAATGAGTTTCTTAGTTGTTCTACGAGTCTTAAATCATTTTGTTCTGGTGTGCATGACTGTAAATGCTTTTCCTCGTATATTTCAGTGTCTTCAGTTTCCACTTTATTCTAGTCCACTATTTTGTTCCATTGACTTTTCATCAGGTAGATAGACCTTTTTCAAATGGTTTGACAGATTGAATGCAACTTGATTTGTCGACTAATTGTGGATAGATTGACTTTCGCAAGCGTGTTGTGTTTTGTGAGATAGCCAATTTATTTTGAAATATTTACCATTCTAAATAACCCCATCAAAGACTGTACGACGTAGAACTAGCATTAGTTATTATACATAATGGTAAAAATTTCAATTCACTAACTTACTGCAATTGATGCAGCTATAGTAGCTGAATAACCAAATCCAAACCCGAAACCTTGCATTATACCATAAGTAATCAGTAATGGGATAAATCCCAATCTCAGTGTGTAATAACTCAAGGTGATTCCTCCACTGAAATATAAAGAATATCTTTTTCGGTTATATGTACCAATCAACAGATATAATTTGCTACGATTTATCCAAATAATACACATTTACATTGGAATGATAACAAACTATAGAGTCACATTCTTATTCGAATGTGAGGTGCTTCATAGAATAATGATTGTTTTGTCCTACCAAAAAACTTAAATTATTCAAATTTCTAGACCATATATTCCTTCATTTCTATTGAATTGTGGTTAGGATTGTTTTCAGAATCGTCCGAAAAGGTGTACAGTATTTATGTAACTTAACAGTCTGAGTGATGGTGATATATCGAATAGAGAAATTAAATAAAGCCAGAACGAATATTGATGCAGAATAGTGTGAATTCATTATATTTCGTGGTTTCTCATCAGCTGCTTACAACCAAATATGTATTAGTATTTTAGCATTGAGATAATAAATAATGTGTGGGACAACTGACATTAGTGAATGTAAAGGATTGGAATCACAAAAGGTTATCAGTGATAACCAATCTATATGTGACAACCAAACTATATATATATATATATATAGAAGAAAAGGTCAGAGGTTATTAGGTGTTAGAATCAAGGAAACATAAAGGGGTGGTAGTGTAATAGTTGAGTGAAGTTCAGAGACAGATAAGATAAATTGTGTGATAATTATAGAGGTAATAAAGGATTCGTTTGATTGAAAACAAATAGGATGGGTTACGTAATAATTGAATAGAGTTTGAAAAGTTCACATAATTTAAGAGAAACAAGTGAGTGAAAGGGTGGTTTAAGAATCGCGTAATGAAAGAGGAATATAATAAAAAACTAAATATTAACCAAAATAAAACTAATGACCAAGGAAAAAGCACAAAATAATTGAATTACAAGGGTAATAATAAGCTTATTAATATAGGTCCGGTTTAAGTTTTTTTTATCGCGATCGCTTCAGCAAACCGGAGAGCAGCCGTACTCTTTTGTTTGCTAATAATTTTGAAAGCATGAGAGATTTCAATGGTATGCCCGGTGTCAAGTAAATGCCGAGCTATCGCACTGTTGAGAGCCCTGATCCCTCGCAGCCTCAGTTTCTTTGTAACATGCTCAGAAATGCGAACATGTACTCTTCTCTCAATTCTTTCAGTGTATGTGCTTTGGCACATACATGTAAATTGACAAATGCAGTTGGAGCTACTGAGAAAAGAGGATTGGCGATTTTAGTTTGCTTGAGTGAGCAGTTCATTTCTCACACCGTTGTTAGTTTTGATGCCGGGTAGGTCACTTTCAACACAGAATTAATCCTGTGATTAATTATTCCAGTAATTTCATCTCCTTCGAAGCGTAAGTATAAGAAGCAAGTTTTCTTTTCCACTCTATCATACTTTACCTGAGGGTTGGTGTTTGCATATTTATAAATGAATTTCGCCGGATATGCATTTTCACTTAGGCACTTAGCAATTTCTTCTTCCAGACATTCATTAGAGCAGATTTTTTGTGCGCAGTCAAAAAGGGTTCGTACAATTCCCTTTTGGTAACTCATTGGGCAGAAACTGTAGTACTTGAGATATAATACACTCCAGGCGTTTTTGCGATGAATGTGTCTTTGTAATGTACCAACTGATGTCCATCTGATTCCAGTATCTAGGATGTGGAATTTACCTTCAACTTCATGTTCCATAGTGAATCCTTGTGTAATTTATTAAACAAACTGATTAGGTTCATGGAGTGCTTATGATTGTAGCAAACAAGAAATGTGTCATCAATGTATCTACAGTAAAGTGTGGTACCATTGATTGCGTGCTTAAGCTTCTTCTGTTCAAGGTTTCCCATAAATATGTCGACCAGAATTAGGCCCGAAGGGCTATCCATGGCTACTCCATCAATTTCACGGTACAACACTCTGTTGATAGCGTAGACAGGGCAACACTATGTCGTGCCCGAGGAGATAGTCAATATCATGCGGAATTTCTATGATCGATTAAACTACAAAATCGTGCATAAAGGACAACTCACTGACTCGTTCAAAGTAAAGACCAATGTCAGACAAGGTTGCTTACTATCACCCTTTCTCCTGGTGATCGACTGGATTATGAAGACGTTGACATGTGGAGGGAAGCACGGGATACAATGGACAGCTAAGATGCAGCTGCACAATTTAGACCTTGTGGGTGACCTGACTCTTCTATCACGCACGCAACAACAAATGCAGGAGAAAACGAACAGTGTAGCAGTAGCAGTAGGTCTCAATATACACAAAGAAAAAAGCAAGATTCTCAGATACAATACAGCATGCACCAATCGAATTACACTTGACGGAGAAGCTTTGGAGGATGTGAAAACCTTTACATATCTGAGCAGCATCATCGATGAACACGGTGGATCTGATGCAGATGTGAGGGTGCGGATCAACAAAGCAAGGGCAGCATATTTACAACCGAAGAATACCCGGAACTCAAAACAATTGTCAACCAACACCTAGGTCAAAATTTTCAATACAAATGTCAAGACAGTTCTACTGTATGGGGCGGAGACGTGGAGAACTACAAAAGCCATCTGTAGTGCCGTGTTTCGCTAATCGTTCACCTCGATAACCGTTATTATACAAATCTCAACGGTGCTTGAAATCAGAAGGCAAAGAGAAGCAGCAACTACAGTTTATTACCAAATAACTCAGGCTAGAATGCTACAAGCACATGAGCGAATATCAGCGAGCAAGCGCAAGCGATTACATAGACAAATTTATATTCAAATTGTATAAGGGCGCAGTAAAACAAAACGAAAGTTAATAATGGGATTTAAGTGCATACATATATGGGGAGGAGGATAAGTCATCGAATGATACTTAAGCGATCAACATTTTGGCTAGAGTGTCTTGTGCTCTAGTGATTATAACAGTACAAAGAAATATGCAAATTGTTACTATCCAAATGATAATGTCTGTTAAGTTAATAAAAGGGCTTAACCAAAATTAACCATAATCGAAATTGGTTGTAGGATAGTTGCTATACATCATCCAGAAGATACAGTTGTTTATTAACAATTGTCTCCGCAATATACCTCGGTTCTGTTGGGCAGACATTATCAGCAACAACCTACTGTGGGAGAAAACGAACCAGGTCTCAGAGAAGGAAGAAATCAGGAAGAAGCTCTGGAAGTGGGTAGGACACACATTGAGGGAAGTACCCGATCGTGTTACAAGGCAAGCCCTCACATGGAATCTTCAAGCACAAAGGAGAAGAGGAAGACCGAAGAACACATTACCTCGAGAAATGGAAACAGATATGAGAAGAATGAACAAAAACTGGATAGGACTAGAAAGGAAGGCCCAGGACAGAGTGGGTTGGAGAATGCTGGTCGGCGGCTTATGCTCCATTGGGAGTAGCAGTTGTAAGCAAGTAAGTAAACACACTTTGACAAAGATGATTCCCAACTATATATAAATATATAGATCGGTCATTTAGGTTTGTTGTCAAAATTATTTTTAGAAATAGTTCTTATTTCACTTAGCTAATAATAAATAATACTCCTTAAGTAAATGATTTTTATAATAAACATACTAATGAATACCGATAACGACAAAACAAATCCAGAAAAATATTTCCACTAACCTATGAATTAGACTGCTAATTATTACCACTGCTCTGATTCCTAATTTACGGTACAATGCTCCACCAATCGGCATAGCTAATGCTTCCATTCCCAAAGCAACCGATGTCAACCACATGATGGAATTATCATAAATTGACTTATTATGGTATTGAAAATAGTCCAAAATGTATGGGGCCATATTACCTATATAATGCAACCATTGGTTTAATTAACACATTAGTGTACATAGACAGTACCGATTGTATAAAAGTACCCGTAAGTACATTGAATAATGATCCCACCAACTACACAAAGAACAGAGTGATAGTGGTTTATGAGCGAACACATTGTTAGCAGAATTGCTTGATACAAATTTGAATGGAAAGCTTCTTTTATCTACTGAAGAAAAACACAACACAAATCAATGAAATCAAACAACCAGTTAGAACATTTTATATGAAGGTTATGTCTCAAAAATTTCTAGTTTAACAGTCAATGAAATGCTTTGTTAGCAAACAGGAAGTAAAAGAATGTGAATTTTTTCAGATTTTAAGTATTACTAGTTCTCTGCTTTGTTATCAGCCATTCATAATCCTGAATCATTTTTGATTTGATTCGGCTAGAAATTTAATTATTTGAAAGGGAAGTTGTGTTTTGAGAGTTTTGTCAGTGTAAATGATACGTCACAATACATTTAATTCCTTACAGATACTGACGAAATATCCTTTCATCACTTTTTGTGACAAATGATGCTCGAAGTGAGTTATTCATGGCAATAAAAATCTGTAGCTTTATTATGTATCTAGACATTTGAATTTCACCTATTTGTTCGTCAGTTTAAATCAGTCAGCTGATTTTCGAGCATGCAGCAGGGTCATTTAGTTGACCTTCACACCAAAGATGTATTGCATAATATAATGTATAGAAGCGATATTTAAATGCTGAGTCATAGCAGAGATAGTGGAAAACTAATATACAATAAAAATATTTTTTTCGCTTTTCGGAGAAATAAATGTTTGCATAGAACAATAGCAATCCATTGGATGGGGATCAGTATAACTAGTGAATTTCTAAGTATTTCTCTCAGCTTCTTCTAAACTGGATGAACACCGATAAAAATTTAAATTTTCAAAGGTATTTAGCGCAATAACTTTATCCCTAAATCATAGAAACACATTACAGTAAGATCATGAACTCCAGTACTTCGGTAAGGAAAAGTATATTTTTTAAATACTATCATGATATAATGTAAATTTGCAACACGTAAGTGTACATGTATGTGATACGGTTTTTGTAGCCTGGTTTGTAACTCATTACATGACGTTATTATAATTTTAACTTCTAGGTTTTAATCTCTATGGTGAAGCCCAGATAACAAAAATATTTTCAACTGAATACATCGTGATTTATTTTTAAAAGGCCATTGACCTACTGCAAAGTTACCATGTTATTTGCTAACAAAGATAATCTTCTTGTAAAATAACTGTCATTTGATAAACCTTTCGCATAAAAAAGAATGCATTAAATATCTTTAAATACTATCAGTTGTACTAAGACACGAATTCACCTAATTTTTCAAGTGTTATGCCAAGGTGTTCGACGAATTAATCTGTAACCACGATTTGCACCGGATATTGTTGTCTTCAGTTCCGTCCCAATATATATTTAACTGAGTAAAGAGAAGCAAATTGGTGTTCGCAAATGTAATAATTTAGTTTATTTGATACTAACTTTCCTCACTTTAACATTTTAACAAATAGTTTCACATAGGTTAGGTGTCGAGTTTATGAAATACATATACCTATATGACTAAACACAAACTATACAAATAGATGAGATAGAACCTATTTAGATGAACCTTGGGATTTAATGTTCAATAAGGTAAATATGAATTTATTTTACTAATTCTGTTTCACCTGATGTTATGTAAAAGACATACTGTGAAAATTCTGATTTATGACATCTGTCAGACTGACTACCTTTATCACCAACCATAGCCTACGGCTATAAATGGTCAACGATTTTCCCATATCAGATCTACATTTAGATACATTTGTTCTCTTATCATAATTTCACCGAATTCCACACCAAATTACTTATACTCACAGAGATTCTAAATCCAGCATATCAACATAATAAGGCAACTGTTTAAAATACAGTCATTTTATGAACCGTATATTTACATTCGGTTATTTTGTTTTTTGATTACTTCCATATGAATCTCACATCAGATTGTTAAGCGAAAAGCTAAATATATTTTGTTCAAATTGTTGAAACTTTTGAAAATTTAATAAATTTCTAATAATATTTATCATCAATACAATGGTTGTGAATTAGGTGAAAGAAAGGTCTGAAGTTTATATGGATTTGAATGAATGGTGTCTAAAACTACTCTCTTGAGGATTTATTAACTGAACAACAAAACTCGAGTAATCAGAGTCAAATTTCACCAAACCTACTTATGAAAATAAGGACTAGTACAAAGTAGCTAGTAATTCTTTTCAATTACTTCTTTGACGAAATAACTCTGTTTCATCTTTAATTCACATTAATAAACAGTTTTTATGAAAATCACTTCAAAACATTTAGTGATAAATAGGTGGTTCATCATAAACTAACTGGTTAACTGATAATGTATGAGACAAACTGAAATGCCTGAAAAGTATCATAGACTAAGATTCATCAAGAAGCTACTATATTATTTTATAGGGATCTCCCATAATCCATAGCCCTGAGTTTATCAATTCACGAACAAATGACTCTCAATCTGGGGTGAAGGTCTCGACTCAGTATAATAATGTTTAATCGAAATTAGAAAAAAACGCTCGGTGACAACAGTCGATAGTTCTTGAGCGAAAACAGTCTTCAATTTATCAAACAGTGTTAATAATAAATATCTAACCAATAGTCTGGTATCAAGATGATCAACAAAGGATTTATAAATATTGGTTTCGTACTCAAAACAAACCATATTTTATTCAGAACTGACTATATACCAACTTGAATAATACCCATTAATTTTGTTGGCTTGCCAGTTACGTTATTGACTATTCTCATATTTTTGAAGTCTTACATGATTTTGTTCATTGTAGAATCTGGTTATCATTGAGAGAATACTTGTTATCCTAATATTTATCATGATCAGACTCAGGCTAGAAAGTTAATAATGTCAAATTATTACATTTTTTATCCTGTAATTGTACCCTATACTACTATTTTTGAATGTATATATTTTTCAGTGACTATTTAAAATTGGACCAGTTAGATATTTTTACGAATGTAGAGGCACGAGCGTTAAATAATAGGTGTTTCTACTATACTCTCATCATTAACAGTGTTATTTTTACTGCACATAAATCCATTAATTCTAGGTGTAATAATTAGTTTCTATGTATCTGACTTGTGCTTTAATTATAATGTTCTTATCTTCCAACTTGTGCACATTTTATATCGTTGGGTATATAGCGTTAAATATGAACCAATCAGTAAAAACGTCTTGTGAAGAAATTGTTTCTTAAAGTTAGCAGATACATTATTGTACAGATATTGACAGATTGGGAAGAGTGGACCTCAGTCGTATGGTTTACTAAATCCGAGGTTTCAAAACAACGCACAGCCAGCTGCAATGTTTTTATCAACATTTTAACCCATACAGCGAATGTGGTTAAAAACGTTCGATTGGTATTGAGTTTTGGACAAGATGATACTGACTAATATCCAGTGACTACTTAGTAACAGAAGAGCTGTTAAACATTGTACATAATGTATCGTAAGTTATTTAGAGGTCACATAATAGAAGGATCAAATATTGTAGTGGTTTGAAGAATGGTTTATTACACTTCTTTATTACTAGTAATCAATGAAGTTACTTCAAACGAGGCGTAAGAGTTTTTTAAATATTTACTAGCAAAATATTTTAGTTTGTCGGCTGTTGACTCCCCTACAGTACCCTCCTCCTTTCTCATCCTGGACTTGGGACTAGGCAATTATGGAGTTTTTTTGTGAAGCAACTGTTATACTGGCTATTTTAGAAAAGACTTGGAAGTTACACTTAACGAAATAGTCATGGAATACGATACAAAACCAATTTTTAGTAAACGAAGGTTATAAACCATAATTATCTGTCAAGTGAACTTAAACAAGTAAAGTCGTAACTAAACTGTTTTTGCAAGTTAAAGAATTCTTGTATCTCAGTTTTCATTTCATAAATAATCTAAGTAAAACAAGAACAACAATTGAAGGAAATAACCCTCTGTCTGCTACCAATACCTGCTTAAAAACATTATTGTTTTAGGGATAATAACATAAAATAACATTTGTTAATACATTGTGTTTTATTGTGAATTAAAAAGTAGCTTGGCACAGGCTGAATAACAAAACGAATATAAACCATATGTATGAGTATTAAGATCGTTTTTCATCAAGATCTACCACGTTGTTGTCCTAGATCTTGTGAAATAAAACGAACTAATAATAGTAATTGGATCAACTCTGACTGGATTACGAAATCTAAATAGTAATGGAAGAATAATTTAAAATTCTCTTCTTAAAGGTATGACGTCAAAAGAACAGGTTCCCTATGTTGTATTGGGGCCCGTTTGATCAGGCCGTAATTATAGCAGGAATTGAATGGTTTAGTCAGATTATCGATAATTTTGCTTGCATTACCAATATAGGCTCAATTATCTTCTGTTAACCAGTGAAACGGTGATAATGAAGTAACAGCTGACATAAATACTTGGCAATTATTGGTCCAGAATGAAATTTTCTCACAATCACTACTCCAACAACCAGAATAGAACAACGCAACAAGTAGATAGCTTCTTTTTGTGCAGTTCCAAAAGTCCAGCTAAGCTCAATATTTACCTTTTATAGCACACAGCTACTTTATTAAAGTAACTAGTTCATAAGTCGTCCTTCTCGTTTGTGAAAATCTAGCTAGATAATCAGTGTATTGAAAAACAAATGTTTATGTTTCCTTATCGTATCACAGCGATGATTAATTGAAACTTAGAATCAGCTTAAAGTAAACATGGGCCAAGGGGTCTTTCGGAGTTAAGAATAAGTGTCAAAATGATGAAATGTTGAATGACTGTATCGATAATCTGTATGTTGATTTCTGTTTTGAAGATGACGTCAAATAACCCCATATAAAATTCATATTGAAAATCAAAGCTTTCTTAGAATTAATCTTTTAACAAAGAAATACGTTTTATCTACTTCACAGGTTTGAAATAAACGTGGTTGATATATCTCTAGCTATCTATCAATGTAAACAATCCAAGATTTTTAAACCTCAGTTACGATCTAAATTTTTTTTCCCTTGCTAATAATTTTACTCACATACTTTCTTAAATTCAGTATTACGTGTATGGTAGATGAAAGAAAATGACTCCCTTACATCATGAATACCCTAATATTTTGTCTACATTTGAGCATACTGTTTCTAGCTTACTTCAATATTATTTTTACTCTGAAAAAGTATAAAGTAAAAGGCATAATTCTAACTCTTTAACTATTTAAGATGAACAATTTTGTGCGAATACGTTGTTTTCTATTTGTGATAGCAGTACAGAAATTATTATACTCACATCTGAATTTTAAAAAAATATTTAGATACACATTATTTTGTGAGCACAATGAAATCAATAGTGTTATTTATTTTGAATAAGTTGAATACCATCTACGTCTATTTTTAATTGTGTTTTACAAATCAGACTACATATCCAAGAGTACAAGAAAAAGCTCTTTATTATGAACATTTCGATTATCTGAATTAAACAATTATTGAGATTTAATACCAGTACTATATAATGTGGTACGTACATGAAATGTCTGGAGATAACTTTATGACACGGGACATAAAACCTTCGAGAGAAATTCATATTAAGCTCCAGATGTTTTCTATTTATTAAGTGGTTTTAGAAGCTTTGAATGAATGAAAGCAAAGACACACTAGATAATATTATTTATTTTGGCTAATAGCTATCTGTGACCAACTCTGTATTACAACCTAAAACAAAAAAGTGGCACAGAAAATAATCAAGTTGTCTAGATGCGTTGTAATTATTATCGATCTGCTTGTTATACGTGCATCATAGTCTACCATAATCGATTAGGCCTTATACATACATTTAAATAATGATAAGTTACTGCATATTAAATCTAAACTCACAAATGAACTAAATGCGTGGACATAATCTAAATACATGGTATAGTTTCCCAGGAATGTTTCAGTAATTTACTGTCGAAGAATCTAAAATTTTACTCTAATCTCAATATCAATTATTTAGTGGTATCGCTAATAGTAATCAGTGATAAGTAGAAGAATAAAAATTTCTGGTGTAATACATGAAACACGGCAAGATAATGCGACTTACAGTTTCCAACTTATACGATGAACATACTTACACATCAAAGATGCTAGACAGATTACATTGTTACATAGAATTCGAATTTGGAATCACAGAGATATAAAAGAAAAGAGTGGTTTGTTACAATTTGATATTAAGGGATGCAAGTCAGTCAGAATCACTTATTTTTTTAACTCACTCCGAGTGGCAAGTCATTGTTTAAGACTTTATATTGATACATACTTTACTGAATCACACTAAAAAAGACGGACTTTGTCAACGGGAACAGAAGCTCGTTTTAAAAACCATTAATAATCCAAAATATCAGTCCAGAAAATCAATTTCGCGTTAGGTTTTGAGGATTTTAAGTATGTTTAAGGATATTATCAATGATAGTTAAATGGAGATTGAATTCTATCGGGTAACAGAATTTAATGAACAAATGAACATTCTGTAGTCAGAAATCTTGTATTTCTTGTATTAAAACAAATTTCTTAATGAGAGTATTAGAGTCGTACTAATTAAGCTTGGTTTACTGCTTTCACTGCTATGATTTTATTCATTTTTGCATCCAAATAAACTGTTTGGATTTTCTAAAATTATGAGATAGATTTGATGCATTTCATTGAGAGGAATTAAAATGTATGACGACGCAAATCACTTTTGAGAAGAAGAGAGGAACATGTTTAGCAGTTGGAAACTCGATAGCACATGCTACTCCTTGGTAAAGAGCCAAGATTTATAGGCTGCTAAAGCGACAAAGAGAATGCTAAATTGGTACTTAAGGGGAAATTAATGAAGTATATGTGCCTCTAACGATCAAAGTACATAACTCCAGAGCTCAAGAGAAAAATTCCGATTAAAATTACTTGCTTTAATTCAGGATCACTAAAAAAATACGTTAGCCCCCCAAAACGACCCATTTTTATCACATCATGAGGGATTTGTAAATAGGATTTACATTTCCAATGATTAATTACTTAGTTTTTTCGTAGCTCGTAATTCCGTTATTTGGTTTACCGCAGACAAATTTTTATTTTTGATAGTATCTCTAATAATAAGGCTTTCTGAATGATAGATGCCAAATGAATTGGAATATAATCAAGTCCCATCATTTCAACCAAACAAACTATGTAGTCAAAACATTGAAGCAGTAACATCCGTTATTTGTTCAATAGTGATGATAAGTTAATCGGCAAGCACAATTATGTTAGCTTACATCTTTCTTTTATCAGCTCTTTTAAAAATATTAAATAAAAATGTTTTGTAAAATTTTATTTTTATAGGGAGTTAGAATAGGAATTCTTGTAATCAGTCGTCTACTTGAAGGGCAGAACACTTTGCTATGTTCAAATCAAACACACCAAATTATATTATTTAATATCAAGTATTACTGTTTGACTTCAAATATAGAGCAATATTAATTGATTACAAACTCATTCCTTGTTTTAAGTTCCAAGCTTTTGCCAGCCATGTGACTGCTTTGTGTGATCTATTTTAACTATACCAATCAAATAGTTTGATCCAACTGTAACTGGTTGATCAGGTTGTTGTCCTCCAACTGTTATACGGAGAGTGCCTTGACCAGGAACCATGGATTTATTTTGATTAGACCATACACTTAACTGGTCCGGAGATATTTGAAAATGAAGATCCTTTTTTTCGCCGACATCTAGTCTAATACGTTTAAAGCCAGCCAACTGAATATTAGGTACAGTGCATTCCCACTGATCTTCATTAGTTATATCAGTTTGCCCACATTTTACCCATTGGATATACAGCTGGAAGATCACACAAAAAACAACGTATAAGTTTATAACATTTTGAAATAATTTACCTTTAATCTTACTCCAAAAATAAAGAATATGAAAAAAGAGCTGTTTAGATTTATAATAAGCATGGTTTCAAAACCCGCAATTCAAACAAATTCTATTGTTGATTTACAGATTGCCATATCTTCACTCTTTAATCATATGAGTATTTCATTGATGTGGAAAGGCAAACAACTTAAAACAAGTAATCCGTCTGACAAACATGGAAGTTGTAATGATAGAGTGAAGTTAATCAAATTTATGTTGATTAAAATAATTGTCATAAGATGACTGATATGCTGGATAGTTGGTTAATAAACCATATTGTCATCACTTATCAATTTGTCTCTAATTTGTAATTGTAATTGAGAAAACATAACCACATGTAATTCATTACTTTGGTTAGTAATCTTTCCGTTCGGGTTTTGGAATATTACAAATGATTAAAATATCCAAATGTTGAAGATTAATTGGAGTAGTCAAAATAGACAGTTTTTTTAATAAATGAAACATTTTAAGTATTATGTGAATGAAGTTGGTACTTAATATTTTGTGTCCATAGTTAAAACATTGAATCAATTGCATGAATATTTTTTCTTTGGATCTTTTTTGATTAAAATGTTCTTGTTGACTACTAACGAAACTAATTTTCAACTGAACAAAAAAGACTTGCTATAATATTCTAATCAACATTATTGTGAATAAAGAAATCAGTTTGTAAACATAGGAAACGAGATATGAGATGTATTCATTTGAATGCGGCCTTTAATTATTCAGTGAACAAATCTACCAGAAGAATATCAGATTTTCAAATGATTATGTACTTTCCGAACTATTTTTGACAACTCTTAAACTGAGTTTGTTGGGAAGATATTATTGTGAGACGTGATTTTAATTTGATGCTCGGATGGCAGCTTTACTGATTTTGAAAATATCTACTTTCGGGACAGCTATGGTTCCCTTTCTAACATCGTTGATCTCATTTCAATTTTTCAATGGTATTTGTAGTAACTAACCCAACCATTCAATATTGCTTGCAAGGAAATAAACCACTTCTTTTAATTACGATAATATTATTTGTACTGATAGCATTCTTTTTACTGGTTTTAAAGGCAATGAAGCAAACAGGTAACAAGAATAAATTGAATCAATATATATGGTGAGAACTATAAACGATTAACCGATGACGTCCACTGAACTCGCAGATTTTTATTCTTGCTCAAGCATTGAAAGTTTTAGTCAGATAGATTTTATCGTCCTACTAGATTGGAGAATCCTGGTAGGCGGCTTATACACTATGAAGAGTAGCAGGTGTAGTTAATTAATTAATTAATACTGTGTTTAATTCGTTTTTTTTCCAGTTAATTAGTTATTCAAGACTACGTTTAACGATAAATGTTAAAATTGAACATGCTATCTCCACAATTCACTGTAGAACGTTAGATACTGATTTCAAACAGAGGAGTATAGGGATAATTAAATAAAAAATCTTATGCTTTTAGATTTTTTGGGTTTATTTAGCGAAACTGCTAAGTTTGCACTTAAGATATGAAGACAAAATCTCAGTTTATTTTCGTGAACCACTAAAATCCATTTAGCATATCTCCTATTTTGGAGAGGAATGTTTTAGCATTGTGAAAAGTATCTGACTAAATTCGAACACATTTGTGAGTCTCAACTATATGATTATCAGAACTGAATGCCTGTTGAAAAACAGTGGGAACCCTAGACTTCAAAAAGTATATTTTGTTCCGTGTCTGTAGATCGTCAACAGTCTGTATTTCATACCTTCTATACAAAAGAAGTAGCAAAACAAAATTATGAAACCAGTCAATCGTTTTCAAACTAAGAAACATAAACTTGGATTAATGTTTTGATTCAAATTCACTTCAAACTGTTAGGTTGCGACTTACTTGTACTACTTCCTCACATGCAATAGCTCCTATGTTAGCTACCGTTGCATAAACAGTTATTGGTTGGTTTGGTTTAACTGGAGACAGTGGTAACTCCAGTTTTAAATATTTAATACCACTAAGTGAAGGAGATAGCATGTTATATGATAATCCATAACCAAATGGATACAGAATTGGTATTTTACACCCCTTTTGTTGCTTGGTACAAGATTTTGGCAAGTAACGATAGGTCTGATTTGTCATTTTATATACAGTTATGTGGGCTAACTCGTCAATTGATGAGTACCATGTAAATGGTAATCTAGCCGCTGGTATCCACCAGTAACCTTCATCTATATCCGTACCCCACATACCGATTTCGGATAATTCAGGATCTAATCGTAGTAACGGTGCGTACGGTCCAAATTGTTTACCAGGATTTCCAATCAGTACACGAACTATTACTTCACCGAGTATATCATTCATATAACCACACCAAAATATGGATTTAACCTTGAGAAAGTGAAAAGATGTCCAATTTGTCGTAAAATTAAAACTAATTTAAGTTGAAATAATTTCATCGTCCATTTGTGTAAAAACTTGACATGTATCAGGTTTCTATGTTCAACATTTACTATGTTGTGATATAACCACAAAAATAAATTCTAATATTGCATAATAAATGCTATCTAATAGCATATAAAGCAGCCTGATGAATCTATATTTTAAACTTAATAATATCAGAGTCAGGATCATTTAAATTATCAAGATAAAAACAATGTAATTACATTGGTTACTTGTTTACATCTAGTAGTCATATCATTTAGTGATTGAAATAATTTTTCTATCAACTACTTCATGAATCTAGAACGAACTATAGATATAATAGGCTTCTGGTTAAAACTATTTGAGAATAAACATCTTTCCGTTACTCATCAAACAGTACATGATAACTTGACGCATCAGTTCCCCCCCCAAAAAAAAAAACACTGAAATCAAAGATATCCCAGTGCAATTCGAATGTATGATTCTGTCAATCGTGATTTGTTCTTGTCAAAGGAAGGGTTTATAAATGAGTTATATTAATACAAAGTTAGAAGTAATGATATCGATGTATTAGTATTTAACTTCACTTAATAATTGGATTCACGATGTTTCAGTCTATCAGACTTAATTTATCAGTATTCAGTGTATACAGAAACTATTTAGGCTTCAGCGGAGTTGAAAAAGAAGAGTGCAAAAGTTATCTACATAATAACGATTTCTTGTTAAAAATTGATACCATCTGAAAAACTACTGAAAACAGTGAAGCAAAAAGTAAGTGTCTTATTTTTTATTGTCTTTTTTCTAGCAATGTTCACCATTAGACATAATCATGTCTTGCGGTAAATGCAACAAATTATTTATAAAGTTGGAAGTTGACCAGAATGATTTTAAATTGAGTCAGTATCAAATGTTAAGCTACCACCATATAAATGTAAGCAGTTAACAACTGGTGAACTTCAAAGTTTACAATACCACATTATTATTACTGAAATAACATCAAGCCAATTGTTTGTTGAAAATAACCTCTATTTAGTATACTAAGTTTAATTGTTTGATTCGAAAGTATTCAGTAACATTCATATGATGAAATGGTCAACCCAATCTCTTTTTTTAATGTGTCATGATTATTACTCCATTTCAAATATTAAATCTTCAAAAATATTGATTGGTTGATAGGTGCAAAGTAACATACATTTTCATCTTTCACTGCTGGTTCAATATCAATTGGTCCAGAAGAAAAGACTAATAAAACTACTGGAACAGGCTTGCGCCTAATTATCCCACGACCGGCTGCCATATCTAATGTACTTAATAAAAATTCATTCTGACGTCCAGGCAGACTCAGATTATGCCTATCATGTGATTCATCTTCAACATTTCGTCCCGTACCAATGGTTATGATAACAAGGTCAATATCTGGTTGGGAAAGTATTTCTTGAATAGCTAAATCGTCAAACATTGTACACTTCCCACCATCAATGCAAATATCTGAGGCAGTAACATTTCCACTTATTTTTTCAAGGGCTACAAAATGTAAAGTGGAAAGAGTCAGTTTTATCGTAGCATACATATTTATCACAAACCGAATATGTTAAACAAAAAAACAGCAAAAATAATTTGAATGCTAATACAGTAATCAACAATTACTTTGTAAAGATAGGAATGCCAGAATAAACAGGTCGTTTATAAATAATTTACTACAATCTCGGCTTTTATCATCAAAGTTTTCAAAACAGCAATCAAATATTATAAAAATGATTATTTCTAGTAATATTCAACATGTGCCAGATTAGTATGTATGTGAAATACTTTATTCTAGTTTACAGGCATCATCAGACCAGGTGAGATACAACTTTGATGTACTTCGTGACAATATATACAGTTCAATGGTTTAAATTTTCGTTTCAATACCAAATACTTGTAATCAAGTGAGGAGAAAGCAATTGCTTATAACTTAGTCGCATTGAAATACTATAAAGACTGGTGTTTGATGAGCGTGAACATAATTTTGACAGTTGTTGGGGATGTCAAATCCCCAGAACTTACTTGGTAAATGGCTTAATCTTGTAGTTTTATTTTGAAAATTTGAATTTAGCTGTTTTCGCGCCAAAAGCGCTCTTTTTACCTTCACGTCATATTTCCCACCTGTAAACTATCTTAAACACTATTGGTCCATTGTTTCTTTGTGTGTGCTATTTTACCAATGATGCTCAAGGACAAATTGTTGTTGTATAAATGCGCTTGACTTTTTCCCTTATTCGATTGCTTGTACTCGGCTGCTTACGGAATACATATATATTCCCCTACTTGCCTTGGACTTCTTCATCTAGTTAGCGGGGCCTGGGACAACAGATTAGAGTAGCTTATCGTGTCATTGTGTCATTGGCTTTCGTTCGTTACCGCGGAATCGATTTAGTTTCAGGCATAACAACAGTAACCTAAATAGTGCTTCATCTAGTTGAAAGTGAGTCTTAGAACCTCATAAATAATCTATGGAAATTAGGCATTGTGCTCTACAGTCTCGTAAGGTATCCTTTTGAATAAAAAATATATAAGTAATCTGTCAATTTAATCCGAGGCCATCTGCGACGAAGAGAACTCTTCCTAACTTTATTTTTTTGTCACTTCTGTCAGATACTGTACCGTTCCTCCGCCAAAGTGACCCTAATAGATTTTTTTGCAAGTAAACTGATGGTAAAACTCATACTACTTGCTTGACAGTTTCCACTTTATGAAGTATTCTGCGGCGTAATATATAAGACGCGATTGTCATGTAGGTATCTGTTAGCTTACCTTTATCCAAGGGAACTGTATCATTCGGATCAATGTGTTTAGTATAACTCCCAACCAATTCACTAATATTTGTTGAAAATGGTCCAAGTAAGGCAACATGTTTTAACGTCCGTTCATTTGTATCAGATTTCGTTTTAATTGGAAGAAATTCTTCATAGTTTTTCAAAAGTACCATTGACTTGGCTGCAGTAACCAACGATAAATATTTATGCCTTTCACTCTTAACAACCTAGGAAAATCGTAAGCGTCATGTTTACACTTTCCACAGCATCAAACAGAGCTTCGGTAAAACCGACGATAATAATTGATATATTTTTAAAACTACCACTATTAATAATAATAATGACAACAATAATGATAAATTACTAAAATCGGTATTCATTCCATATCATAATAACAGAACTAAAAGCATCCTACAGTTTGGTGATTAGGATATCATATAACAGATCATTTACTTGATTATTTATTTGTCCAAACATAAATATTGGTATAAACAGTCACCGAAATAAATGTGAGCTACGTAATAAAAATGAGATTGTGATGAGGTAGAGAAAGCAAAGTGAGTATAATAAAAATATGAGTAAGCGAGAGCATAAAAAATAACAATCGAAGAACCAATTCAGTTAAGAAAAATACAACCAGAAAGGATTATTTCCCTAAAAGAAGTTCATTTCACTTATATGAAGTATGTAAAAGAAATTAAAGAAGGACAGCAACTACCTTCAATTCTTAATTACGTCTGATATCGCCTTGGGCCAGTGTTCCAATATCTCTAGGACCCCAGCCAGGGAGTCATGACGGGCCAGCAGAAGCCAATTCTGTACAGCTTCCTTTCATAAATTATAAACTTACAATCTCTTCGCTTTTTCCAACCGGTCCCAGGGTCAACAGATAATACATGACATGGAATCCTCTAGACAGCATTCGTAAGACATGTTCAAGCCAATGAAGTCGATGTTTCAAGATGGTGACATCAATTGGATTATCATCGCTGTGCCAAACCACAAGTTGCTGAACCTCCGCATTATTAACATGGTGTTGCCACTGAACTTCAACAATCCCTCACAACCAACAATGACCAAACACAGAGTCGTCTTACATCTTCAACTCGGAGAGGCCATGTTACACAAGCATGAAACAAGACTTCTCTCACCGACGCATCATAGGTCCGACCTTTTACAACCAAACTAACATCATGAAAACATCACAACGGTCCAGATTAGCATAAGCCACTCTGGCTTCCACTATACATGAATCGATCTCATTATTCACGTCACCACTAGCACTTACACAGCTACTCAGATACATGAACTCGACTACTTCTATCCGCTCAATACCCAAGGTGAGTGTCGGATCAGGGTCCTATCGGTCTTGTAAAAGCACTTCTCACTTGGATAGTGCAAAGCACATACCATACCTACGAACACAAATTGCCAACCGATTAAGTGAGGACTAGATGGCTTGGGCATCATTGCACAATAGGACAGAATCATGCGCATACTGAAGGTCAAGAAGTTATTTCCAGACAATAGACACATACCTCCATTAGGTATATCTATCAGAGCTGTTTCCAGAACATCATCGATGGCAAAGTAGAAGAGGATTGGTGAGGCTGGGCAACCCTGTCGAAGCCCATTGTATTGACGAAACAATAAGGAGAGGCGGTTGTATCCTCCTATTCCGCTTTAGGTATTTGTGTATAAAACCTTCCAGATGTTAATAAACTTCTCAGCCACACCCTTCTTCAACAGGCAATCCCAGAGAACTGTCCTGCCCCACGAATCGAAGGCGACCCTGATGTCGATAAACACAACGATTGTTGGCCTGTGGTAAGTATGACGGTGTTCTAACATTTGGCGGAGGGTGAAGATATGATCAATATGTCCTCGACCACAACGAAAACCAGCCTGCTGCTTGCGAACCAATCTTCCACGGGTTCTGAACAATATACGAAGCATGACGGGAGCCAATAGTTTAGACGCAATCGGAAGTGGACTTATCCCCCGATAGTTGTTGCAAAGACGACGTGAACCTTTTTTAAAGATAGGGACAATTATCGACTCACTCCATGATGTTGGAATACTCTCTAATTGTCAGACCTTCGTAAACAACGCAGTCAGTTCCTTAGCCAGAAAGTCACCACCATCGTGGTTTGTGTTCAAACTCGCGGTTATCCGGAGTAGATAGACGTGTCTTAAAGAGTTGGGCTAGCATTATGACAATGTCGAGCGTGCTGTCTTGAGGCTATTTAACTGGTGGTATAGCTCATCCTTGATTGCATCCAAGCTGCGATCAGTGAGGGTGTAGGCAGAGATAAAGAAGACATCGTTTCTCATAACAATTTCTCTTCACTTTGATGAAGCTTTCTAATCTTACAGCGTAATAATCCGCTGCCAATCTGAATCTCATCGAATAATGCCGTTTATGTTCTGCCACTTAATGTGGCAACAACCCCAGCGAAATCTGGCAAAAATGCCGCAACATCTCCAGATAAAACGTGCTTTTAGAAGCGAAAAATGAAGTGAATTTGAAGTACTTCACTAGAGTCTTGAATATAGGTCTCGCATAGACAACAGACATTGATGTTGAGACCTTCCAAAGAAATACCCAGACCCATCTGTTCTCCGATCTGCATTAATGTGTGAACGTTGCAGGAGGCTACTTTAAAAACCACACAATTTCAGAAAGACTACTTCAGAATTCGTATTCGGTGGCAACATTCAACACATCATCTGGTCTGGACGTCCATCATTTGCTTTTCATCCTCTCAGTTTCGTAATCAACATCCCCAACGCAAGAAAACAGTGAGTAGGACTTCCTTAGGAGTGGCTATATATGCAGGGTCATATGAAAGTATTTCAAGAAGGAGTGAGGACTCTCCTCACCCTCTCTGTACCATGGCATTTGTTAAACTTCAACCCATTATGTATTTCCATATGCTATGGAGTGAGCAGAAGCTTATGGATTATCAGTGTATTTACAAGTGACTGGGACTGCAATTATAACTTTTTATAACTGTATATACCTATTAGACCTAACTTGATGAAATTTGGAGATTTTACAGCCTGCAATTAACATTTAAACCTTTATGTCACTTGTTCATTGTTTAGTCATTCAAACTTCACTATCCGTGTAGTTAGCTTACTTGTAATACGACATAGCACAGCCGAATTTTCAAAATTAGCTATATTATATACTTGATGGAAACTAACCTAATTTTATCTAAAATATTGTAGTTTTTACTCATGTACTATGGAATTTTCTCATCATTCTTCTTGATCCAACATGAACACCAGCTTTTTCCTGACATTTTTGTTCAACTTTGTTTAATGACAGAAAAGACAGTGCCTATTTGAGCAGTAAGTGATATGCTTCTAAAGCAATTAGTCCCTTTGATAAATTTTGATAATGTAATAAGAAGACGAAGATTATCAGAACTATGTGATATATTAGAGAAATGTATTTCGAGCAATCTGATCACACATATACTTGTTAAGAACATTTTTAAATAGAAAATAAAAGGTCAACTAGACTGGAAATGGAGGGTTAAGAGTAGACAAGGATAGTAATAGTAATAGTAATAGTAATAGTAATAATAATAATAATATATTATCAAGCTGTACAATCGTATATATATATGAAAAAGATTTGTTAAAGTACTAATTCCGTGAGGAAATGTGAACACTAATAATAATATTAAGGCAAAAGAAGTACGTTTTATCATTATCGTTACCATGGCCTTAATATTATTATTAGTATCATTCTATTATTATTATTATTATTATTATTATTATTATTTTTATTACTCCATTCCCCCTTTACTTATGTCTTATATTCTGATTATTTTATTCATGAATACTCATCATATCATCTTATTTATTTTACACCTCTATGACCGTTAACGACCTTTATTTATTATAACCAAAACATTTTAATCATCTTATTCTATTCACTAAATCTATTGTTATTATTATTCGTATTACGTAATCTAGTATTATAATCTCGGTTAATAATAATAATAATAATAATAATAATAACACATAGAGTTTATTTTAATCGCTCTTGGTCGTCATTAATTCAAGTATCTGATCACGAATTTTTTCTACATTTAACAAATGCAGAATAAGGATTATCATTATTTCCTGAAAGTTTGACTGGTAAGTTTAAACATGTTATCCATTTAAGACATGTCGGAGAAAAACGTAGTTGCCAAGACATTTTCCGTGATTGAATTCACGTACTATAACGCTTGTCATAATACCTTTATCAAAGGCAATAACATATGCTTGGTACCATGGTGGTGTCTTTCAGTCTAAGGATAACTTTTCATGTGAAAAGTTTGACTTCATAAAAGATCTATTAAGAAGATGAAAATAGTCAGTTTAGTAAGACTGATGACTTTTGCCTACTTATAAGAAAAAACGCATCAGCTTGTTCTCAGATTATCTTTTTTATCAATGTGACATCCAGAAAACTAAAGACCTAAGCGTACGTTAGACATGATCATTTTTTTCTGAGAAAAGGAGGGGGAATCAAGAAGACTAAGCTAATACCCCTCACCATAGAAAATCGTACTCAACCATTGTCAGTCGAAAAGGGAAGGTGTTAGGAAGTAGCGAAACATATAAGTCAGCAATATAGTTATATCTTGTAGCGTCGGTTGATATGTTAAGCCCATATGCTTTATCGTAGCTTCTGGACAAGTCAATTTACCTATCCACCTTGGGTCACGCTTTGACCTTGTTGACTACTCACTTATCAACCTTGACTGTTTTTATATGAGCGTATGTGTATGTACACTTTTTATCTTATCACATGTCTGTAATTTATTTTTATCTGACTATGAATATTGATTAACACTTGGTCAAAGTTAATTGCCTTACCCGCCATCTCCAATGCTTATCACTTTCGCTTCGCTCTCTTCTATTCACTTCATCCCTCTGATTTCCTGCCCAGATCAATGAGTGTTCAACATATATGTATTCAAAATCCATTCTCGTATTGAACTTATTTAAATCTGTTATTCATCGACGCGGATTAAGTCATGTACTACATACGAGGATAGACTGGATGTATATTTTGACAACAATCATTCATACGATCTAATTGGGAATCACATCATGGCCCTACAATCTGTTAGTCAAACCAGTTAATCCATTAATATTTTTTTAATTATTTAGCTGCATTAAGTTACTGATTAATGAATGTTAACGACTGACATTTCACTACATTTAAACCTGTCTATTAACCGGACGTTTAGAATCTTTCGTAATTCTGTATATTTTAATTATTTGTATGTGTTTGGTACATAAATAAATCTTCTAAAAGTCTTGCTTGTTTTATGTCATTGATCTTTTTCAGTCTCGTTCTACTGAATAAGTAGGAAAAACAAGTTTATTGCACAATTATAAAGAATACCCATACCATCAATGGAATCAGCAAGATAATTACAGTAATCTTTTACGTTACTTAGTAATTTCACACTTCTCAAATATTACAGTACAAGTTCTTTGGAAAACTTCAATATTATTTCGTCTATCTTTTCAAGTATCTTCGTTATAAATACCATGGTATTCCCTCTTGCAAAAAAGGTATATTTTTGTCGTTTTTGACTGACTATGTCGATGAAATTTCTATGACGTATGAAAATTTCTATAATCTATCTTCATTAATATCAAAACTGATTCTGATTACTTAGAAAACAAAATCTTTATAAATTTATCGAAATCCTACAAAAACGTACTGTACTGGGCAGTAAATGAGCATATGGATCCATTTCTGGCGAATTTAATTCACCTTCTAGTATTCTAGCAAGAAACAAAGGACGAACTAGATTTCGTAATTCATCTTCACTCACATTGCCAGATTTTGTAAGATTTAATAGTTCAGAATAAACGTTAACAGCATTAGGTAAAGCATTTTCTATATTTACACCGGCTTTAACTGCAGCTAAAGCCGCTTCCTGTAGAGACGAATAAACATGATGTTTCGATATCAAAAATTGCAAGGCACCTTCATCACTAATTACAAAACCTAGAAAATTAGGAAAAATACATACATATATTGGATAAAATTAAACTGAAAGCCGTTACTGTATTTATTATTATTTATTTGAACACATAAATATTGGTACAAGGAAGCACCAGATAAATATGCGCCATACAAATCTCATTCGATTTGCTTGAGGGCTGTGATACTGCCCAGGTGCCCGAACTGAAGCAGGTGGTTCTCTTAGGGGGGCTACTCTCGAAGCCTTTGACCTTAAGATCTGATCCACTAGGCAATGGAGCAATGTTAGGAGATGCAGTCCCATGGTAGCTGGTGACCAACGATTGATTCATACGCTATTTGTTCCCTGAGGATACTGGAGCCCATGTTCACCATTGGTTTGGAATTAGGGTTTTCCAACTCCCCTAGGTGAAATTTCCGGTTAAGGCTCCGGACATTCGCTTTCCGTCCTCAATTTTGTGAACAACACCCCCTTTGAGAGAAGGCAGTGAGTGGGACTTCCCTAGCAGAGGCTATATACGCGTGGCCATGTGAGAGCATTTCGAGAGGGAGAGCGGACTCTCCCCACTCCCGGTCGTACCAGGGCATTTCTCAATGGTTAAAAAGTACAGAATAGGACTGGTTATACATAGGTTCTAGGTTTCATATAACTGATGACTGTCTGGTTATACAAACAACCTTGATTCTAATAGGATCGCCATGTGAGTTTTTTCAGATTCAGTCACTGTTTAAGAAAATGTGCCATGACTAAAATCATTTCCTAGATCATATGGATTATTGATTATCCAATTATCCATCTAACTTATCTTTTCTGTGACGAAGACAATACAATTTAATAGTTTAGAAACCTAATGTCTAACTTTAGGCAAATTTGTCTGTAAGGTAAAACTAGTTTAGGTAAGCTGTCCTCTCTGCACCAAAACTAGACAAAGCTAATAAATTTTATGAGGACACATCTATGTAGCTTCATTTGAAATATACTAATACTCGAATCCAACAGCTTTTCCCACAATTGACGTTTGTCTAGCAATTTAAATGTCGTAAATACATTGATGAATAAAACAAGGCATCTAAACTACACATATGAAAACAGATGAATGGTAAATCTAAATAAAACAGTAAACATTATATTTTGAAAAAAAATAATATGGTGATAGAATGAATATAAATTAGCCTGTATGTCACAAACCTGGATATTTCCACTGCTTTCGAATTACGGTATCTAATAGCCAGTGATTTACACAAGCTGGTGTACCATTCACTCCGCTGTATGCACACATAACTCCAACAGCTCCAGCTTCCATACATGCACGAAAAGCCGGAAGATAGGTCATCCACAAATCGTGCTCCGGGACATCAGCTTCAAAAGATAACCTTGAAACAGGATCGTTTTCTGGTCCGGAATGTGCAGCATAGTGTTTACAGTTTGCACCAACCAATAAAACATGTTGTCTGATTGGATTTATTGTTAGTAAGTGTACCTGATGAAAATAAGCATAGGGATAAGTTAAGAGTAAACAAGTTTATGTTCATTTGTCTTCCAGACTGTTTGATCAGTACTCTACAAGGGGATACGAAATCTGAACTCTGTATATTAAATATCACAATACTTAAAACTTGGTCAACCATCTTGTTTACGTGTGACAGAAGATAATAATATGATTTTAAGCTCGTGGTGCCTGTTGTACTACCCAGGCTGTATGTATTTCATTTTAGTTATAGAGCTCGAACTATACAATTATCATTTAGAAGTCTATAAATTTAAAAACAGTACAAACACATTTTACTATCTTTACCGCAGACTACAAGCGAACAGTCAACTTGTGGTACTAGAAAATTTGTAAATTAAATACAACGAGCCTGCATACAGACAGTAACTGTTATGGTCAGCCCTGCTTATCTATAAAAGCCCGAACAATGGCAGTAACTGTTTCAAACAGCAAGATAAACATAGGAATTTACTTATCTCTTATTAACGTAACAGAGTATACTTACGAGAAGATAATCATTGAAAGGAAAACGTGTTCTATTACAGTTAACAATAACCATTTATATCGTTTGTTTAAAAGTTGAAGTAAGGTAACTAGAGTTGATCATTCAAAATCTGATTGAGATAGATAACAAATAACAGGACTGATGATCACAGTTCGAAAGAAACTATTAATGTTTCTGAAAATTCTTATTTATAAAGAGAGAAATAATAAAGAAAATATTAATTCCAAATGTATATTAAAAGGATATTACTTATTTCATTTCATTAATCGCATAATGGTTTTAGCCATGCAATAAGAACGCATATCTACTGTTGAACAGTGTTAAGCGTATATTATGCTCCAAAACTAGCCTTCCATATTTTTAGTATGAACACCTTAAAGTCAAATGACAAATATCCTTACATCTAGGTTTCTTTAGGAATATTATCATACATTTAACTTATTTAATTGAACATTAAAAGAGCATAGGCAATCTATGAAATGTTAGCACTACAAAAACTTTTCCAATGAGTGATACCAGAAAGGAAACTTAGTACTGAAAATTCCGACCAACTTTCTTGGATCACCCAATAATAACGAATTTTAAATGATGAAACACTATTTGCAAACAAATTAAAGGTACTTGTAGTTCGCTTTTTAATTTGATATTAGACTTAATAACTATATTATTTCATAGCTCTCAAGGCGAATTGAAAAAAGGCATGTAATTATGGTAGCAACAATCATTATTGATAAGATTTAAGTGAAATATAGTTATCTAGAGATTAACCTTGATTGCACCACCGTTCGGTACATTCCAACCACTAATCCCATGTACATATGCTCTAGCTAATTCAGCCGCTAAATATGGATCTTCCCCATAAGTCTCCTTATTTCTTCCCCAAAGAGGATGCCGAAGAAGATTGACAGTTGGTGCAAACACATTTATTCCTGTATTATCCTGAAAGAGAGGTAGGGAATGTTTAATCACAACCCCATAATTAAGAATTTAACATGTTTTGTATCTAGCAAATAAATATACACCATCAGTAGATGACAGATTATACGTAAGGTCAAGCGACTATTTATAAATAATGATTCCTGAAGTCCTTCAGAATATCACTTCTACCAAAGAAATATAACAAGCTTTTTCACAAAAATCACCTGTTTCCATTAGTCTTTAGAATACAGAGGGGTATATTCTATTCACTAAAAGAAAAGCAGTTTTATCAAAATTTCGAAGAAATAATAATGAGTCGTTTTGAGTTTTCTGTCTTGTATTTTCAAAATACATATCTTTCAGAACATTTAATGTACGATGAATAATTAGCAGAGTAAGTGTGCACCCAAATAAACTCCTATTATGTAATGAATATACCTTACTCCATGATGAATTTCTTTCACATGGGTATTTTTGCTGTTCTACCATAACATCAGATCCCTGTAAGCGTATGCAAGCCACAATAAAGATGGCCAACTAGATAACCGTATAAAGAAGTCGTTGCATTTGATATGACAGATCACACCAGAAACTATTTAAAATCCAAAAGGTAGTATAGACTGTCTTTACTTTACATAACCAATCACACAATCTTTTCACAAATTTCTGGGTATTACCTGACCACTTCTAGATAAAGTAATGAAGAGAAAAGTTGCCCAAAAGTCGGTTGAATGAAACAACTTAGTAAAGCATCAGTGGTGGTAGCGAAGTGTTTCAAACAGTCATAGAAGGTCATGCTAAACAAACAGTAGATTATAGGTCACGTAAAGTGTAAAATCCGGATCAGCATTTCATACCGAAACACAAACAAACTAGCCACCTACTGACTCTTTGTTATCATTGAATTTAGACATACGTCTAAGTGATTTATACTCAGTCAGTGGTTTTCAGTTACTTTTAATTTACATATGTATGAAGTTGGGTATCACAAATTTTAGTGACGATCACTGGTTACTTCTATTTTCTTTTCAAATGTTCTCTTTTTAATTAGTATGTTCACAATCAGCGGCTAATAGAGGCGAGGCCTGTTTATCTCCATTATTTAAGCCTAAGGTTTCAAATATTTTTAGTAACCTGGATTATTAATGAGGAAATAGTACAAGTTTATACATGAAAGAATTTTATAGGATGTATTCCTCATTTCCGTTTTAATCAGTGGAATTTTGCACGTAGTCAAAGCAGATAGAAGTAAAAAAAGAAGATCTAAATGTTTCTTTCATCATCAAACATACATACTTCTTTCATCATTTATTATATGCTGTGAACTTTTTCCTGACATTAATTCAAAATCTATCACTTCATAGCAAATTAACGTTTTAATGAATGGCATATCAAATTTACTGTACTTCACAGCCTTCCAAGGAAGAGTAATTAACATATTCTGACCAATGATTTTCTAGCAGTTATCTGATGTTCAAGTTATTGATCATTAAATCACTTTTCATTGAAGTTAGTTTTTAAGACTATTAGTGATAATAATTGGAAACTATACATGAACAGTTTATTATATTATGCTATATTCATGTAAACGGTTGGAGGTTCATGTTTCAATTTGTTGAGAAATCCAACATGGCAATCAGTTTTAACATGAACAAAACTCCTATCCAGGATTTCAATGTTAGGCACAATCAAATATAATTCACACAAGTATTTAGTATTACAAGCATTTAATTAAGCATAAAATATAAGAATAATTGTTATTATATGAAGGTATAGAAAACCCACAGAGTAATTATTTTGTTGACTAAATTGATTCCATTTAGCTCTCATTTCTAAGCCATTTGCGAAAGCAATTTTCCAGACATCCAGTATATCAAACGAGGCAGCTTGATTAATATGACTTACAAATGAAGTACAAAGACCTTGATTTGGATTTGTACGCCATTGATAGGGTTTGATCTTTAATCTAGGTATAGCAGGTGCAGGACCGTATGTTGGACCTGCGCCACCATTTGCCATTTGATCAACAATCTCCTCTATTGTTAAAGATGAGATTAAATCATCCAGTCGTTTTTTAATAGAAACCGATAAATTGCGAAATATTTGAGCATCAGTTTTATTGCGCTGTTGAATAAATATCAAAAGACTGCACAAAAACCTGTAAATAAATACACACATTGAAAGCAAAATTTAGCCAATATCATGATTTGACATTATTACTCACCTGCATTTATCATAGCGACTATCATTTATCTATCCTATTTATAACTGATACTTCTGCACTACACAAGCCAAATACTGATTAATATTTTCCGTAAACTTCCAGAACTCTTTTAGAATTAAATTCTTATATATATATATATATATATATATATATATATATATATATATATATATTCAGCTGATTAGTATTTACATTGTTCACTCACAATCCTAAAAGTCTTCGAAAAATTATAGTCCTTGTATTAGTTGGGCCGTTTCGACTACTTTAGAGGGCAAATCATAATATATATGTAGGACTATAAAAGATAAAAAGACTGAAGTCTTCTCTAAAATCGAGATGGCAAGTCATTTTAAAGGTAGAAACAGACATAAAACAAAAAAATGCAGACAATAAGCTTCAATAGAATCCCTTCAGGACTTCGGTAACAAACCTTTAAAATAATAAAAGTGAATCCATTTTCTTAAGGAATGAAGTTAACTGTGAATTAATCTTAGTTCGTTAGTGTAAAATTTCAGGTTTCACCAAATAATTCCACATTTTTCCATGAGACAAGCTATTTAAAATACATAATCATAATATAAATTGATCAGAGAGGCAAAGCAATTGCCTTTTTAGAAAAATCAAATACAAGAAGTTACTTATTTCTACTAGGGTTAAGCAGAGTTAACCAGGAGCCACCAATTATCTCGTACCACATATATCTCGATGTAAACTGCTGTCAAAAATACATCTTTCCGTGTTTGAGTACACACTACAGCGCGAAAAACTATAAGTAAAATATCTTCACAAAGTCCCAATATCGCGAGCGAAAAATAAGATAAACCCGGTTCATGTTGCTCAACAAAAGTAAATGAAGATGGCCTGACTAACAGACAAAATATATCACAAGTTAACGTGCTTACGATTTGTTTGGCCACAAGAGCAGATAACAAAATATTGATTGAGACTTCAAACTATTTGCTTGCTTGGAGCATACTTCTCATACGGACGGATATAAGTAGTATGTATCGAAAAGTGAAAGTATGATTCTTAATGACAGGAGAATGAAAAAATAGAAGCAGTTCAATTGGTAACAGAAATGAAAGAACGGCGTAGCTTGTAAGAGACAGTTCAAGGAGGATGTACATATTGTGTATTCAATTCATTGTTTTCATATTTTATAAATGTAGTGTGTAATCTCTCTTAATAGGACAATTCGGTTTACGTTTCCGTCGTTCTTTACACTAGTTCATCAAGTCTGTTTTATTAAGATTCATTGTATCTTCTTTAAATAACTAGATGTCATTTCGTCTAATCCTCGACTAGTCGGAATGGAAAATAAGTTGAAACCGAATAATATTTAACAGCATCTTTAGATTATAAGGTGGAATTTGTGAGTCATCGGTAATGAAAAGTATGATACTTACTGGATTTACAGTTCTCATTTTAAAAAATACGTATAGAAAGCTACAGTTTCGTTTAGCGGCAATAATTAGGGCTGTCAGTAAACCCTAGTGATCACAGTTCCGCACATGCGTGAAGCAGATCCTTTATTGCCACATAAATCTCTATTTTTCGAATTACTTTATTGTCAAAGGAAAATTATGGGACCTGCCATAGGCTTACACGACAGAGGCTTTTGTTTTCAAATTCATCTTCGAGCAGAAAATAACTTGATCCATTTTCCTATTTCAGTACCAGATGTATAAGTGCCACTCAGATATACTGCACAAACAACTCATTTGATGGTGGACAATAAATCAGAACAATGATGACAGTGTTCAAAGCCTATCTCATCAGTTACAGTGAAATGTTTTTTTAAGCTAGAAGAATCAACAAATACAATATCTTTATTATTCCAGGTAATTAATAGTAATACAAACTACCAATTATATACAAATAATCGACTTACATAAGGTGAAAAGGTGTTTGTTGCATTTTAATAATTAGGAAATCACTAATTCTCCTTAGCTTTCAAGTTTCTATATTTGTTTGAAATGAAAGGCCTTAATAGGATTCAACATAAGCTTAACTTCATTGGTTTGCTCTTAATGTTTATATGTGTAGTTTTACCCTGATTGGCCATTAAAACAAATCTGCATTTCACACTTAAGTGATCAATACAAGCTTGGAACTTTACTCCTTTTTATTAATTATAGTGTTACTTGTCCAGCGAGCAAATAAAGACATGCACAAACGATATCGTAGGCCATAGTTAAAATTATTTCACAGGGGCATTTGTTGAACCAACTTACAAATTAATAAATCAAATAATTTTAAATACCGAGATTTTATGTTGATTCTAAAAGCGATCACAATGGATTTAACTTCATTTTCAACATAACTAAAATCCTACCCTCAACTAGATAACAGTATCACTTTTAATTTGTTATTGTTTCACTTATGACTAGATGTATTCTGTATTGAAACAGTTCATAGAGTTACAATTAGGTTAAAACTAAACAAAATTTATAACTTCGATGGTTAATTATTAGACAGTTTAGGCCAACTGAAGAGTTACATGAAATAGGAATGTTTGATTTCAATTACGTGTGCGTATTACTAGGGTTTTGTCGATTCATAGTGAATTAAATCATGAAAATATTTTGTTGTAAACAATTGTTAATTATCTGAAGGGGTTTTGTGGATATTATAGTAATTTTGATAGTTGAGATCATGAATCAATTAAAGTTAGACCATCATGGAAAACCTGGACGGCCGTCTCGTCCTGTTACGGCCGTCCAGGTTTTCCATGGTGGTCTAACTTTAATTGATTCATGATCTCAACTATCGAAATTGTTAATTACTTATTTAGAAAGCTGGAGAACCTCTATGAAAATAAAAAATATTCCGATTGATAGTATGTCATTGTGATTGAAATAATCAAGATATGGTGTTCCTAAATAATCGGTCATAAATTCACAGACATCGTTACATAACGACGTTTAAGCAGTATTGCTTGGATAATTTGATCAAATAACTTCATTATCTTTTATATCATATCTTTCATTAGCTGCTTTCTCACATTTTTGTGCATATATTAATTGCAACACAACATAAACTTGACACCTTAGGATCTGGTAGCTTTGATTAGTTGAAACTCTCAACTGACATAACAAAATGAGGACATCCTCGACTTTAGTGTGGTAATCAAAGAGGTAGCTAAGTGATCACTCGTCTTTAAATCATCACTTTGTTGTTCAAACACCTCCTGACGTGTTTCCGCTTGAAAAATTGTGTAATATCATTATCCTTCGCCTAAAGTAGCTGAAAATTAAGTATATAAACATGTACTTTGTAACCGAATTACATCATTCAAATATGGTAAGTATCAAGCAATCATATTCCACAGCTCTAGAAACTGATCACGAAAATTCTGACCATAATGGTCTATAGTGATGTATGAACGAGATGCCAAACTTTTTTCGCTTGATTGAAATGGATGGCTAGTCGTCACTCATAGCCTTAATTTATATTAAACACCAGAAGAAACAGATTGACTGGTATCAGCTGACTTGACAGAAATTGAATTAAGAAGTGAAAAATACTAACCAAATGGATCAAATCGTAATTATACTACACGAACTAAATCTTGATATATGAATTCAAGCTTATTAACGTGATCCCATATTTAAAGGTAATGGGTGTTAATCACAATAGCGTAAACCCCTAAAAGTTTACACATCTTCGACTCCAGTTTCTATATAATTAATTTTCCTGATAGGTAATGGCACCAACTAATCAACAAATGGACCCACGGTTGGTCAGAGAGTATTTTATGCAATATGTCGATAATCGTATAGATTAATTTTTTATTTTAGATCGCAGCTATTTAAATAACGTAAATTGAAAAATATGTTTAAGCTGGAGTAATGAATTACACAAATGTTGGAAAAAAACACTGATTATTGAGATATCTTCACAACCATTCGATTTTCACCCAATAAGTGAACGATCCAAAATTACTCAGTTTATTCGACATTTTATTCATCTTCGTACAATGTATAATTCCGAATAGTGAATGAACAAACATGTGATTTTGTTCCATGTGGTGAGGAACTAGTGAAATGAACGCTACTTATAGAACTGTTTGTAAGTAACATATAGCGGAACGTGGTATCGAAGTTGCAACAATTGTCAGACCGAGTGGAGTTTCAGTACATCCAAAGCGCGGAGTTGGCAGAACACCAGACCAGATGAGGAGAATTCACATGGCGGAGCATACCGAAAGATGCGAATAAAAGTTTAAGGGCTATGTGTATTATATAAATACTTTGTAACTTATCACAACTAATTTTCATTCTCCCTGCCTCTTAACACTAGTACTTAGTGGGTCTTTACAAAGTTATCAGGATAAAAATAGATCAAACGAAATCCCATTATTATCATCACTCAGACATGAATAAACAGAAGTCGACATTTCCCTACCAGCATTTTATTCACTTAATTATTGTGATGATATACATCTATCTATCTATAATTATTGTGATGGTATACATTTATCCAAAGTCATTATAATTCTGAATCGCATCCTATCGAAAATCATAACTTGACTCTCCCCCCTTAAGTTTAAAACTATTTCCTGAATCCAGCAGTTTGATGTAGGAACAGTCCGTATTACAGTAACATTTGTAAACCTCAAAAGCGTACAAAGAGATTACTATTTTTAACTAGCCGTACTATTTAATATAACCATGAATTAAACCTATTAAATTTACGACAGAGAAAATAACACTTAGGTATAATCAAGTCATTGTAAACAACATGCATAGAGACCAAACTACTTGTTCAGAGACCTAAGCATACTCAGCAATTATTTACCTAGATCAGCTCTGCTGATTAGACTGATGGTCAAGGCAAATCATCAATGCAGGAAGTAACTGTTTAGCAAAGTTACAGAGAGAAAATTTTTAACTGACGTGAATTAAGTAATAGGAAGAAAGCCATAGGAAATATGGCTTGAAATTAATGGGATTGATAACGATGAGTTCTATCTCTACGCTCACATAAATCTTAAGCTATAATTTGCACATTCCAAATCTACTCATTCTATTTAAACTAATATTTCCTATAAGCAGAGAAGATAGTGGCTCGCAGTGGAATCCAGGATGCGCGTTTGATACTATTCGGGACTCCTCAGCTAGATACACTGCATCTCAGAGTCCATGTTCACTCTGTCAGCCCAAAGCTTGATAACTGATTCAATACATTTACACACACACACCTTATGTCTTCATAAACCAAATGAATAACTAATGAACAACTTTTAAAACTCAATATTAATACATAAATTATTTATTATTATTAATGGCTTTATTCAATATTATATAAACAATATATATACATAATATAATCAACATGATTAATCATCCAACAAAATTTCGTTTACAAAAAGTTATTCAACGTCATAATCATCTAAAGAATACAGATCATATACACAGTAAGATATGAAAATGATTTCTACTTCGAATGTCGTTGAGTTAATAAACGTCCGACTGAACTATTATTAATACGACAGAATTTGTTTAGCAGTGAACAAACAGCAGGTGGCGTTGGTATGGGTACATCTTCCAGTGCTGAAACAGTTTCAGTAGACTCCGTACAATAATCTTCATAACTGAAGTCTGAATCAGAATCAGCATACGAAACGTCAGAAAACGTATCTACTTGAGATCCCTTTTCTGGGACTAAGAGTTTGGAAGAAGAATTTTTCCTGGGAGGTTGTGGGGGTAACAATTCTGTTAAGAAACTACCTATTTCTGGTTCGGGCCACACAGAACATCTCTCAAATAATGCATTAAGACGCGCCTCAACACTCTCATCAGGTAAGTCCTCAGAACGTAGCAGGGAAATACATCGAAATCGAGAACGGATGTCATTACCTTCCAGTTTTACGCTTGTACCATTTGTAGGTAAGGGTGTTATTTCACAATATGCACGTCCAGCGCAAGTCAAATGACGACGAAGCTTCGGTCGCAGTCCGTTGGGAACTGAGGCTTTCCACAGTGTTAGGAAGTCATTTAGGTCAAAGCTGCTAATAACTGATAGTAGATGTTCCCCAACTATTTGACAAATTTTCGAATTCCGCGGGTAAACGTACACATCTTTAGAATCGAGTGCTTTTCGATTTTCTAACTGAGAACAAATTAACATCATAATTTGCTTGGTGATATTTGGAAGGTGTTGATTTGCTAAGCCTTCTATTGAGGCATGCAAAGGGAAACCATCTTTACGCCAGTCCCATGCATTTTCATCAGCAAGGGCAAAAAGATCTCTAACTACCTACTTATAAGAAAAAAGAAAATTTTATAGCTCCCAAGTTCAATTCAGTAAGCTATATCTTAAAAACCTAGTACAGGTTTATATGATTTGTTGCAAGCAGTAATCGTAGTGTGAGGGTTATTGGTGCTATCTGTCTAACCAAACCAAACCAAACTAGATAGAGCAGGATTTGTAGCTGTGACCAAGTAGCTGAAAGTCGAGTGTTTAAACCACTAAGCCATCAAATACAAACTTCAAGTTAGAATTTAGAGGAAAATAATTATTGAGTTCCTAACTTGAACCATTGATATTTTTCAGAGTTTGTCTAACAACTGCGTTGCAACACTAAACTCAACCTAAGCGAAATGATACTAAGCTATACATAGGTTGTATCTTAAGACTGACCGAAAACTTTTTGTATTTTTTCGCCTCAACAAACTAAAAAAGTAGAATCAAACTAAACTACATTTCAAATAAAATCAACAAACCATAACTCCATAATAAATGAAACTTATGAGCTTCTCATACATTTTTGGTCGGTTGAGGCACAGTTATTATGTGAAAAGCGTTAAAAATTATAACTTTCATGATTTCAGACATCAGAAACCATAACTTGCTGACAAGAAATAGTGCTCACATTTACATGCCATAGACTAAATAACGTACTATTTTTTCACTTTAATCAAAGCTGATCAGTTTTTCCTAAACCTGTCATACCAGTGGTCAAACGCTTTGCCAAAAGGACGAACTTTCGATTATTAGATCACTATAAAGTACTGAAGTAATCTGCTCTTTATCAACGATAGTATGAATATACAGCAACTTTTTCATCGTAGATCTGTTTTGATTAGTGAACGTTCAGTCCAATTATAACCATTTAAATAACCAAGTGCTTATTCTTTAATCCATTACCCTTCGCTACCAAAAACAAATACTCATAAAAGATTTTCATCCTGCTCAAAATACTCACATTTCGACATATCTGATACGTAATAGACATTACTGATAACGGAAAGTATTAATAAACTTTGCATAAAAAGGATAGCTTCCAGCAAATCAGTTAGTAGCAGAGATGAGAATATGAGACAGACGCTGGAAGAAGAAAATACATGTCTTTCCGAAAGCAGGAGAGGTGCTAAACATATAAATGAGTACCGTTTGAACAATCAAAAGCAGACACACCTGAAACAAGAAAACTTCATTAAAAATAATTAAGAACAGTAAGATCGAATCTGGGGATAGTCAAAGTAATGAAGATTTACACAAATAACATACCTGTGTCATGTATTCATGATCAAGCATTCGTAAATATCCATTGATTTCACATACGTGCAATCGTCGAAACGCCTCATTAAACTCCAGCTTACTGCATGGCAGTCGGGTTTCAACAGTATCACGATCAAAATAGCTGAGATTAGAGCTTTTATTCTCCGAATCACACTCATCATCAACAGGACCATAGTAAAGAGATGAAGATAACAAAAGCCTCAGTTGTTTTAAAGATGGAGCTGAACATTGCTGAAGTTCAAAGTAATTATTTTTGACAGCTTGAATTGGTGTAACAAGTACTAAATTCTCTTTAGGCCTATCGGATGAAGGCAACCACCAATTAGAGGCTAAAAGGAGTGTATTAGACGTTTTTGCTTCTATAACCGAAAACGTTTTGTCACTTATGCAAGCAAATACATGCCCCGTATTATTAGGTTTATGTTCACTTTTTAGAGTTATAGCTTGGTTCTCTTTTTTATGCATCACTTCATCGGCTAACCAATTCGGCACTTCAATCAATTTGTACTCTTCGGATAATAATGGACAGTCAAATTTCACTGACTGAAATATGTTTGATGTGAAAGAGATATCCAATTTAGCACATTCAAGTAATTTCTTCATTGATTCATATGTTCTTGTGGTTGACATATTTAGACTAATTTGGAGCTACAAATCCAGTGAAAATAAATGTGGAAATAGTATCGGAATACCATAAAAAAACAACCATAGTTAGAAGTAATTTCTTCCATATACCAAAATACTTGACTTATTTGATGGTAAAATCACTTGTCACTACGGAAAAACACCAATCTTAAGGAAACTTTACATACGCAGTTCATTTGACAATAAATCAGTCTACACCAAAATCCTAAAAACTTGGAGGAAACGAAGTTTTTAAGTTTTACTTGGTAGAAACAAACTTCTTTTTAAAGATTAGAGTGATAAGTGGATAAAAAAATTTACGGTATTCTAAATGTTACGGGTTAGTGACTTAAAGAACTACAACCTACGTGCAAAGGCAAGTGACAAAAACTGGAATATCAAAAGACAAGCTTGAAAGTCTAATGTATTGATTTTGTGAAGTTCACTATACGTCAACTGGTGAAGTAATGAAGAAATCGTTAACGGTTAAATCTTGAAAAGATCTAAATATTGAGGGATAATACTTATAATGGATATATTATTACACATAAAAAGTGGTGAATATCTAACACATAATTATATCTCTTCAATACATTCAAGAGTTAATATCTAAAAGTATACTAATAGCAATATGTCTGATTAGCAGCACCTACCTACACTATTTGTAATATCCCAATGAGTAGAAAAATTAGATTTTCTGACGTTTCGTGACTCAGTGTAAGCCACTTCTTCAGAGAATAAATAACCAAATTAACATTAATCCAAGTTTAAATAGTACAACGGAACAATCCAAGAATATTAGGTGATCAATCAAAAACAGGTCTGAATAAATCACTGTCACGTCATTTCATTTCGGTCAAGGTGATTCATAAGCGACATGTATGTAATTTTGTGTGTATGTATGCACTGTTAATAATGAAAACTGTGTGACCCCTTTGTACCAATATTTATGTGTTTAAATAAATAAAAGTTAGTGCACATAGCTTTCAGTTGTGGTGTTTGTGCAATCGTTAGGGATACGAATCGACTGTTCACGGAAAAGTATGCAGAGGTTCAAGCCTGAGGATGATTGGCCAAAAGCTGAGGTTATTGTAAACACAACAGTAGTGTTGTAAGCGAGATGCAGGTGGGGGAACACCAATTTATTGCCTAATGCAAAATTACAGAGTGCTTTCGTAAAATATGAAAAAAAAAACATTAAATGCAATATTTTCGCATCTTTATTCATTTGTTTTTTATAGGCTTCATAATACTTCCGATTCCGTCGTTATTAAAATTTTTCTCTGCTTCCCTTTTTGTTCTCTTCAATTTACTCATCTGCTTCCAGGCATTCCGCTTCTGATTGGCGTTACGTACTACTTATATCTGTCAACGTAAGTAGCATACACCACAATAGCAGTCAGTCAGTCACAACGTAGAACTTCGTACGTACATACATCAGTTCGAGTTGCCATACCACATTAGCACAGAGATGAAGTTGTCGATTCAAATCCCATATTGGTAGAAGTAGTAAGAGTATAAGCATTATGTGAAAGATTAGGGTTTGAAGATGTTATTGAAGGAGTATAATACAGTGAAATAAATTTGGAAAGAGAAAAAGGATAGGGACATGAAGAATTCAAAAGGTTAGAATTTGGTAGAACACAAAGAGTGGATGCACCTTCGCCATTGCAAACGATTTTGAGCCACGTTTTGATCTGGACACCCCAAGCTTTCTTCCAACCTAATCCTACACAATGGAACATTGCATGTCCGGGCAGTCGGTGGTTGGGCATACGTAACACGTGTCCCAGCCATCTCGACTGATGAAGTTTCACTACTTCATCAATCAATTCGCCATCCTTACCTAGTACCCGTTTCCTAACAACAGTATTACTTACTCGATGGTCCCAGGATATACGAGCGATGCGTCGAAGACACCTATGATAGAACACTAGTAGCCTACGAATATCCTCTATTCTTATGGGCCATGTTTCACTGCCATAAAGTAGAACAGAGCGAACTGCTGCGCAGTATACTCGTCCCTTAATTGATAGACGGATATCTCGTCTTCGCCATAGGTGACGTAAGTTGGCAAATGCCAAACGAGCTTTTTGAATCCGTGTTGAGATTTCGTCAGACACCAACCCATTAGGGCTGATCAGACTTCCAAGATAAGTGAAGTTGTCGACGAGTTCGACTACTTCACTTCCTATCCTTAGTTCAGGTGTTGACGCAGGCCAGTCCTGGAGTAACAATTTACATTTGGATGGGGAGAAACGCATCCCAAACATCCTGGCATTATTACTGAGTTCCAACAGAAGATTCTGCATTTTGTGAGTGTCTTCACCAAACAGGACTATGTAATCTGCGTATTCTAAGTCGATAAGTGGACCTTCTGGTAGAAGATCAATTCCTGAAAATTCAGTCGACGAGAGTGTTACTTCCAGCAACAGGTCTATAATGAAGTTAAACAAAAATGGGGATAGTGGACAGCCTTGACGGACACCACTTGAGGTTGTAAAAATCAGGTGACAGTTCGCCATAAGCTCTCACTCGACTGGTAGTGTTCGAGTAAAGAGCCTTCACAAGGTTTATGTACTTCTCAGGTACACCTTTCAATGACAGACACTGCCACAGAACCTCTCGGTCTACAGAGTCAAATGCTGCTTTCAAGTCAAGAAAAACTATCATTGTCGGACGCCAATAAGCATGTTAGTACTCTAAAACTTGACGAATGGTGAATATGTGGTCGATACAGCCACGACCAGGTCTGAAGTCAGCCTGATTTTCTCGTGTTTGCAGTTGACGAGTCTTAGTTAGGCGCCCGATAATTATTGAGGCTAGTATTTTAGATACTATGTTAGTCAGACTAATCTCTCTATGGTTATCACAGGATGATTCTGGCCCCTTCTTATATATTGGGACAATCAGAGATTGTGACCAGTCAGATGGGATTACGTTCGTTTCCCAGATTTTAGCCAGAATATTAGTCAACCTAATCGCTAAAATTGGACCACCATATTTAAAGACCTCTGGAGCCAATCCTTCTGGACCAGCTGCTCTTCCTCGTTTCAGATTACTTATAGCCTTTTGAACTTCAAGTAGGGTCGGGGAGCCTACTTCAATGTTCCATTCAGGTTTTCTGGGAATAGTGAGTAGTTGTGCAGTAGGAGGTCTGATGGCCGATTTGACATAGGGTACGTACGTTGAAGGCTTCAATATGTAATTTGGAGCGAGGTTTCAGTGAACCTGGGACAATGTTTCTCACACTAGAATCGTTGGCCATGGTGACAATTCAAGAGGAAGTTTAGTGTTGAAAGTCGAGGTAGGAGTAATAGGAATTGAAGGAGATTGATTATGAATACAGTGGTCTTGAGTGCTGTTAGAGGTATGAGGGCAGTTATCACTTCCCGGCTGCCCACACCATGGAAGGGTTCTTCTAGGGGTACCTGAAAAGGAAATTGGGTTAGAAATGGTCTTAATGACCTGAGAGCGTGACCGCAGTGCCCAAGGGACAACTGCTTGAGGTTGGTCACATACGACCTTTTTGTGGGTAGTTTTTGTGTTAGCTCCGTTCTTCAAAGGACCTTACCGCCGGAGACGGAAATCCGTGGGATAAGGCGAGGTGTGCATTTTTAGGGTCGACCTTTTCTAACCCCACCCCTCCTTGTGGGAAGGCAGCATCGCTGTCATGCTGGTTGTCTGAAGGAAACACCTTACTGCCGTCACACCTCCGTACAGTCGGCAGTACGACTTTGCCTTCGGACCTTGGGATTGCTGCTTTTAGTCTTACCGCTCTTCAACCGACCTGTCTGGCATGGTAGGACCTCGAGGAACGATTGTTCCAGCCAGCATAGCTCGATTGCTTCATCACGATAGGCAAGCCCGACCACCACGTCAAGGTAGCAGCAACGGTCGGGTCAGTGTTGAAAACACTGAGGAAACAAGAACTGATATGATAGTGGTAGCATGCTACGCACAAATAGTAGGCCAAAGTGACTCTAGAGACAGTAAATTAGTTGTATTATTTTCCTCAAAAGCTTTGGATGTATTTTGCCACGTAATCATTTCCTCTGTCTACCTTGACGACTTTAAGACAATCAGAAGATTATAAATTTCTATCATTAAGACCATTGGTGATTAAGTCATTTAACTAAACGTAGAGGCTGGCGAATGTGCACATCAGTTTAAGTTGCCATACCTCGTTAACAGAAAAATGAAGTTGTCAGGGCGAATCCCAGGGTAGTAGAGTTAGTAGCAATATTAGCAGTAATAAAAAATCAGGGGTTGGAGATAAGATCAGAAAACTTATAAATCAGTGAGATAAAAGTATTCAAAAAAAAACTATTAGGAATATAGAAACTTAGGATCTAAAAAAAGATAAGGAGTGAATGTACCCACACCACTGCGAATAACTACTTCTGAAAAAGATGGGATGGCGGTAATTAGCAGAACTAATTACTATCCGATTTCGGTTTTATCGCCATAAAATTACTACAAGCTGTTTAAAGAGCAGTCAGCTTTGATTTCTGAGTATAAAACAAAATACTAGGCTAAGGTTATTAGTTACGGAAACGTCTAGTTCCTGAAAAGTACAATCAACGAAGTTTATGGTCCTAAACAGGCTGATCCCAATACTGTTGAACCACGTATACTACTCATCATCTAATAATCCAAAAATCCAGTGGCATTTTTATCTGTGGCAAAGTGGGCCTTTGTCTTTTTTGATAATATTTCAAAAACACGTTTATTGACAAACACCCAAGACATTTTAAAATAGCGATTATCACCTAATAAATTAAGATACACGATCCGAAGTACGTTTATTCGTCATTTATTTTACTTCACATATCTAGTCCTGCCAAGGAGTTTATTGTATGTGGTTTGTTGCGTTTCTACTTGTAGTGGGAAAACTTATCAGTAACAGGAGTGACATCCAAATACAACAGTTTCATGAACGTCTTATAAGATGTAATTGAAGGGTAAATATTTCAAAGAATAACACTACTTACCAATTAAGCGAAAGTGTTTATAAAATGATTGATCAAACCATGGTGTTTAGTACAGACACGCTCCGTCTACATAACTGTATACTCATTTCGGAATACGATATCTAACTGAGCATGTGACTGTCAAATGCATTAGTTCAACTCCATTGGTTAACTCGTGCTCACTTGTCTGGATAGTTCGAATACCTTACAAATGAACCCTTCCAATTTCCCCTTGTTTGGTTCCCTGTTAGCCATATCCCATTATTATATTGGTCCATAAATACCAGAGACATGACTAATTGACGCTCTGGACAGTTTGGATTCATTTCAATACAATGCAAATTAGACCGGCCTAATTCAGTCCTGGATTTATTTAGCCACAATACAATTGCTGGGTATTCTATTGCCAGTGTTATTTCTATTCTTATACAACCTCTGATGATTCTATGTGCCAGTGTCGACATAAATCCAATTTAATTACACAGTAATTAAATTATGGGGTTAATCCAATACCAATATTATTTTGCTCCAGTTGTCCGTTCAATTATACTATACTTTGACTGTTCATTACTGATGTATATGCTAGTTAATTCAATTAATTAAATGTATATTAAGGATTATTCATGTTCAAGTTCTTATTTGTTTTATTTGTTCTCCAGTATGTCCATTATAATGATAATGAATATAACAGAAACGTCTTAAAATGTAAG